CCACGGGCTAGAGTACAGCCTTCTACCAATCATCCTTATGTTCATGATTTTTTCCTACCAAATAAATCAGGTTGGAATGAAGGTTTGATCAGAGAACAAGTTCATGAAGATGATGTGTATCTTATTCTTACTCAGAAACTTAGCCAGAGTCAAAACAAGGATTATTTAGGGTGGCATTATACAGAGGACGGGAAGTATAATGTAAAATCAGGTTATTGGCTAGGCACTCACCTCCCAAACCTAGATCAAGCCATACCGCCTCCTAGAGATCCGCAAATTAAGAGTCAAATCTGGAATTTAAACACGCCACCAAAGACGAAACACTTTTTGTGGAGGATGCTGTCGAGAGCTTTGGCGATGAGTACTGCACTTGAAAGAAGACGGGTTGTAACGGATAGCTATTGTCGCAGATGTGTCACCGCGCATGAAACTACGGATCATCTCTTCTTTACTTGTTCTCATGCCTGCCAGATTTGGAGAGCTTCGAATATCCCTCTACCGTGTCTTTCAAACCCACAAGTGCCTTATGAGACAAAAATTAAAGAGATTTTTGAATTTCATAAAAATGCAGGGCAAAACACACTACAAGGGCAAATGCCTCTTTCAATCCTTTGGAGAATTTGGAGAAGTCGCAATAAACTGGTGTTTCAAAGACAACAAAATGGTTGGTGGAGAGATATCAGAGATGCTACACATGATGCGGAAGAATGGATTACATACGGTCTAAGCAAACAAATCTCCACCACGACAATGACTTCTGCACCACACAACCCCTCTCGTAGACGTTGGAAAAAGCCAAAAACGGGCTGGATCAAATGCAACTATGACGGAAGTTTTGTGAACCAAAACAGAGGTGCTACAACAGCTTGGATTCTAAGGGATAACAACGGAGTCTTTAAAAGGGCTACTCATGCAACAGGTGGGAATGTTAACTCTGCTTTTGAAGCAGAATGTCAAAGTCTTATTCTAGCTATGCAGCAATTATGGGTAAAAGGCTACAAAAAAGTTATCTTTGAAGGAGATTGCAAACTTCTAGTCAACGTCCTGAATGGAAGCACTACAAAGTTTGATGCCATCAATTGGATTCATGAGATTCAAGTTTGGGGAAATAAGTTTGAAGCAATTGCGTACTCGTGGTCTCACAGAGCAACAAATCAACCTGCTGATACGTTAGCAAAGAATCAGAAGCACGCATTGTCTTCGTACATAGTTCATACATATATTCCTATTTGCATCTCACATGTTCTGTTCTTGGATTACATTGGCTCTGATTAATAAAAGTGCAGTTCGTGTTAAGAAAAAAAAAAAAAAAAAAAACATATAGAAAAGGTGAAAAAAAAAAGAAAAAGAAAAGGAAATTGCTTAAGCGTGTTTAGAAACAAATTATAATCAGACGTAAGCTTATATAAATACTAGATAAGGACCCGTCCGATGGACGGTCAGCTCGGTTAATTGGTATCTCGTCTCCGATATCTCCTTCTCCTCCCTTTTTGATTCGTTGACTCTGGGCTCTCACTCTCAGGGGAGGGAATCGTTTATCCCACTCGTCTCCGTTATCTCTCCGTCTGAACATCTCTAATTGACGGGTTTATTTTTCTTTTTTTTTTTTTTTTGTCGTCTAGATTTATTATTAATTGCAAATTATGAGAACTGTTACATAGACGATTCTACAACTGACAATTCCTTCCGACCCTTACTAGATCCACGACAGACTACACTTCCTTCTTCATAATCTTGATGAATACCTTACTTGACGGGTTTATTTTTCTATAAATTAAAATCAAATTTAACAAAAAATTAATTAAAAACGTTGTAAGTAGAAATTTTCTTTCAAAAGTAAAAACAATATTTACTTTTTCCCTGTTGCATTGTTTCTTTAACCACTAAAATTATTAATTCAAAATTATTTCGAATGAAAGATATATCACATAACAATAATTTATGGTATACTTATATGAAGAACAAAAATAAAAAATATTCATCATAAAGCTGGTGAATAAAACCAAAGTGGTGTTTAATTAGACACATTAAAAATATAAAGATGATAAATTGACTAAATTCTTTAGCATTTCAAGCTAACGTTGCGGGTTCGATTCCTATATACTCGATTGCAATAACGTTATGATCAATCAATAAAAATTGATAAATTCAAAAAATTATAAGTACAATGATATATGAATTTTATATAATTCAAATATGAACATAGAAATTAAAATAAACAATTTTGAAATAGTATAATTAAATTCAAAATATCAAAAACAAAATAGAAGCATATATGTTTCTTACATATTCAAGAATTTCAAATAAAACAATATAAAACTTACTTAAAATTATCATATATTTCTAATTAGAAAATAATATTGATATAAATAATGTAAATTTGTAATTTAAATCATGACACATGTCGCTATCTTAAATAATTAGAACTATGATATATTATAAATCTTATATAGTTTAAACTGAATGTAGAAACCAAAATAAATAATTTAAATATACAACAGTTAAACTAAAAATTAAAAAATTATAAACACGATGATATATGAATCTTTGATAATTTAAATATGAAAAGAGAAATTGAAATAAATAATATAACTATACTACAATCATAATTGAGGACAAAAAAAAAACAGTTAAGTAAAACAAATTACAAAAAGGAAAAAAAATTGATCTCACATATTTCTAATTGAAAAAATAAACTCAAATAAATAATATGAGGATTAGTTTAATTAATTCATCACATATTTCTAATTGGAAAAGAAATTGAGATAAATAATATCAAATTTTAAATGAATATATAATAACATATGTTTCATTTTTAATAAATTTGCCTGATTTTTTTATTGTTTAATTGAAATATAAAAAAGAGAAATTGTTAAAAATGCCCTTTTTCAATATCTCTTTTCAAAAATGCCCCCTTTGAGGGTCCATTTTTAAGTTTGCCCTCTTTTAATTTTTAATGACCATTTTACCCTTATTTGAAACAAAATTAGGTGCACAAAATACAAAATATTTTTTGGCTGGAAAAGTGATCCCGCAATTTTCCCGTCAAAACACTTGTAAAAACTTGTAAAACCTTTAAAATACCTTGTAAAACTTTTCCCGCAAAAAAATTTTTTGGCGGGAAAAAATTTTTACGGGAAAATTTTACAAGGTATTAAGGTTTTACAAGTTTTTACAAAATCAAATTTGTAATTTTGATGTGTGCACATTCTCATGTTTTCCTTATATATTTGTGATATCTTTTATTAAAAAAAGGGTAATCTAGTCATTTTGTACATAAAAAGGGGTATTTTTAAAAATGGACAGCCAAAGGGGGCATTTTTGAAAAGGGGTATTGAAAAAGGGGCATTTTTGTGAGTCTCCCTATAAAAAACGTATAATTTCTTATTATTTTCTTTTGATACTTTTTAAATTTTTTTATAGAAATATGAATTATTTACAATTATTCTTATAATTATCTTTTACATTTTTAAAATTTATTTAAATTGGTAATTACTTTCAATTATTTTATTTTTTTTTCTTTAAAAGAAATTTTTGTTTTACACGTGTCAAAATTTGAGATCGATAAATTTGCCACGTGTCACGATCATATGAGTTATTAACTTTTAAAACCATACTTTATCTACATATACATTTTTACAGGGTTTTTTTGCATTAATTCATTTGGATCCGTGTTTTACCCGGGTTTAACTCTATCCGGATCTTGAATAAAGAATTTTAGGAATGTTGTAATAAAAACAAACAAATATTTTGAGTATAATTGCTCTTATAATTCGGTTTAATGTTATTACCTAAACTAATTGCCATATTAATCGGCTCTATTCCTTTTTATCTCTAATTGATTTCGAATCTTTACACAATCTAAGCTAAGAAAATTCGTTAAGGAAATCTTAAATCAAAAACGACATTAACTCTTAAATTACCCATATTTTATGGCAATTGGATCTTCAATTAAAAATCTGCAAAATAAAAACAAAGAAGAACATAAATGGTTGAGTATATGACGAAATCAATAATATATATTGAAATCGGAAGTTAATATACGCCCTGATTTTACGTAATTACCATAATTACTCGATATCTAATAAAATAAATATTCGAAATTTAAATTCATATCTCATATATTAAGCAACTACCAAATCAACAAATAATCAACAAAATCCTAATGAATAACAATAAGCTTCGTTTTTTCCTAAAATATCGAAATCATTAACTATAACCGCACGAAATCAGGAGCGTAATTCTATCAAATCAAAAATTAAGGAATGATGATTTGAAATCTTTTATATGTTCACTGAATGAAAGATTTGAGATATTCAAAATTTATGGGAGAATATTCCTAAACCAGAAACTAAATATTGTATACTTGAAAGATAATGTATAGATTTATTCATATTTAACCTAAAAGTAACACTGCATAAGGCGATCTTCTTGACTATAAATACATCATCCCATTTCTACAATTCTCAATAACCCAAACGTGTTGGATTCACGTACCTTGACGACAATGAGCCTTTCAATATAAGTTGGCACAGTCATGTGGAAACGTGTGGTATCAAGTTGTTTCTAATTATTTTTATTTTTTTGAAATGGCAATTATTGTGGAACTAAGGTTGTGTTTTCTCACAAGCATGCTATCATATGTGGGAAAAAAAATCGGTGAAAGATATGAAGAGACTCTCTCAATGTGCATTAACACTCCTAGATCGTTCATTTGATGAGCAATGTCCAAGTATACAAAGTCTTCTTCTTATAATGATTTAATTGTAGTGTTTCTTATAATTAAGTGAGAAATAATGAGATTCACAAATGATATACTATATCTTACTAACTATTCTTTGTTTTTAACTACAGATTCAAGACCTAAAATAAGGAGGTATCTACTCCTAACTATAAATCTAATGATTTGAATGATTTGAATGTTTTGAACGTTTTTCGTTAATCTCACTATCCTCTTTTCCCTACGTTTTACTAATAGTAGTGAAAACTAATAAGTTACAATGTCCACTTTATCTACAACATCATCTACGAGTAGAATAAACGACTCGGTACTGAGGTATAATATCTATACATTCTTCTTAACAAAAACCGGCTTCTACTGGATTAGGATATACACTACAAAGAATTCTATTGTACATGATCTGAATTTGTGTGGGATACTTGAAGAAACAGCGAGGCGTGGAATTTCATTCGATGAATTACTCACCATCCCTGAACAGGATGAATGGGTTTATAGTGACGGGAAATCAACATCATGTGTTGCTTTCATCCTTGCAATGTACAAAGCCGCTGGTGTATTCGGCCCTCTCGCTAATCACATTCAAGTCATTGAATTCACTGTGCGTTTCTTTTCTTCTTTCGATATCAAGTCTTTCCATTTAACATCACTCTTGAGCATTTATTTATTTCCTATTCTCAGATCCGAGATGCGTACACTCCGAAGTTATTTGAGTCTAACCAGACTCGACTACCGAGTTGGTGCAACACAGAGGAAGAGAAGCTTGACTTCTGTCATATTCTAGGTGAATACAGAATGGAGTTGTTTTGTTGTTTGTAGCAAAGCAATTGGGTTCAAAGTAATTGTGATGATGGATACACATTAATTCCAAATACGCTTTTTTGTTTTTTTTTGTTACATAACAACATTCATATCGATTTTTATTTATAAAGGATACACAATTACACACATTCAACACTTTAATTTTATTTGCACAAAAGACATGTATATAGATATTGGAATTTTTAATATTTATTTGCTGAATAAAAATTTACAAACTAAATCTAAACTCATATATTATGTAAAGAAGAAAATAAATGCATATTTCAATACTCTATACATGAGTGCGTAATGAACTATATATCTCTATCTCTATATTTTCAAGAATAAATTTAAAATATACTAATCCTACAAAATATATATATATATATATATATACATTTAAATCATAAAAATAGCATATATGTAAAAGAAAAACCTTAAAATAAAAATTCAAATATTTATTAAACAAAAATATAGGCCCGCGGTGTACCGCGGGTTAATTTCTAGTATAATAAGATAGCAATACACTTTACTTCTCCACAATTTCATATTTCTTAGCAATCTCTCTCTCGATAGTTCCAGTCTCTTACGACCATAAATCTTTCTCTCTGATTTTGTCTAATTTTACCCAGAGAATGGATACTGAATCTATCAAACTCGATGTTCATGTAACCGCTTGGTCTCAGGGGCGGACCCACGTTGGTGGAAAGGGGTGCAACTGCACCGGGTAATATATAAATAGTTTTGATTTTACATTAGGTATATTGAAGCAATTGGCCCAGTGGTTAATAGATACACCCTTAAAGCATGAGGTAGTAGGTTCAATTCCCCACAAATATGTTTTTTTGCACTGAGTAAAAGTTTTGGCTGGGTCCGCTACTGCTTGGTCTCATACTCCACCGTCAGGGTTGGACGAATTTATCATAGACGGGAACGATGATAGCTTCACGAGTCTCGGATCTTACCGGGATCCTTCTCGACTAATCTTTCTAAACTTCCAAAACTTTGAACCAAACTACGTCTATCAACTTCTCAAAAGCCAACTCCACGATCATGTCTTGTCCGAACAAATAGCTTATCAACGGCTAAGAAGTCAAAGTTCTGAATTGCCACAACAACCTATATCCATGAGAGTCACCGTCAAATTGACACAGAAGGTATACGACGTTGTGTCTTGTAGTTCTGCTCCGTCTACAACAGATTTGGGCAAAGAAGAAGAATCGGAGACATGTGCCATCTGTTTGGAGAATCTGTTGAGGGGATCAAAGGATTACCGACAAATGCCTAATTGTTCACATTGTTTTCATGAACAATGTGTCACTAAGTGGTTGGTTCCTCAAAATAACTCTTGCCCTCTCTGTCGCCGACCTATTAAAGGAGTGGATACAGAAGGTAGGATCGACGATCCCCATGCTTTAGCTATTCCATGATGGTCACGGATGATCCAACCACCAATACCCTTAGAAGTCCCAATATCAAAACCCGCATCAAAATTGCATTTGACAAAAGAAGGAGGTGGTTTTGTCCAAGTTGAAGTGATAGGTGTAGCATGACTTGAACTCAATGTCTGTGTACTCTTATTTGCAAAATTGTTGATCCACGCCATAACGTCAGCCTGGGCTTGTAAAACAACTCTTGAGGGACTTTCTCTGAATTTGTTGAAAACTAGATTGTTCCTCGCCTTCCATATTCTCCATAGAAGCCAAAAGGGAGCAAGCTTTTGTTGTTCTGTAAAACCTGTGTTATGGTAACAATTGACAAGGAGAGAGATATTTTCTTCAGCGTCATTCGTGAACTGATGCATTGATAATAGTGGTGTGTTCGATAGTCTCCAGATGATGTTTGCATAGGGACATTTAAAAAGTACATGGCATATGGATTCCTCTTCTTTATGACAACGTGGGCAATAAGGATCTATGTTCATACCTCTTTTCACAAGCCTAGAACAGGTCGGTAGAGCCTTTGAAACAATTCTCCAAAGCATATGTTTCATTTTTGGTGTTTGAGTTTCCAAATTCTGTTTTTGAGAGAAACAGAGCCATGAGGAATAGCCGGTTTATTTTGTGTATCACCTGGATCATGTGTAAGCAACCAATACCCGGATCGAACTGTGTAGTTTCCATCAGTGTTGTAGTTCCAAATCAACATATCTGGCAGCTCATATCTTGATAGATATATTTTTTCAATATAGTTTTGATCCAATGGATCAATTGTTACAGAAATTTTCTCTTTATTCCAGAATCGGTATGAGCCTTCATTAGATATTAATGTATGAATTGTATCATTAATCTCAGGAAGTATAGTTTGCAAAGGACGTGGTGGATGTGCTTCAACAAGGTTATCCTTGTCAATTCTGATATTTCTCCCGTCTCCTACTAAGTATCGAGTTCCTTTTTTGAGGACTGAAATTCCTTCAAGTATAGTGATGACCAACCATAGGATTGATAAGAACAAGCTTTTGCATCTAATATGGAGTTATCTAGTATTTGGCCTTCATTATGCTAAGAAAAGAGGAATACCATGGATTGCTTGGCTAATAAGGCATCATTGAATTTAGCAAGATCTCTGAACCATAGACTGCCCTCCTTTTTTGAGTATTGAAGTCTTTTCCAAGCAATCCATGGTATTCCTCTTTTCTTAGCATTATTCTCCCACCAATAGTTCATAAGGACACTTTCTATTTCTGAGATGACTCCCGCCGGTAATTTGAAACATGACATAGCATAGACCGGCATTGCCATAGCAACAGATTTGAGCATTATTTCATTCCCCGCCGGCGATAAAAACTTTGCACTCCAACTAGCTGTTCTTTTCTTGACTCGTTTCAATTATGTAATCAAACATTTCTCTTTTTTTTTTTCTTCCAAACTGTTTTGGCAATCCTAAATACTTTCCTCCGCCACCATGTTTATTGATTCCCAATATCCTCTTTAATCTGTTTTGAGTGGTTCCATGAACCCCTGATCCAAAAGTTATCATCACTTATGTTTTGTCTAAGCGACGAACTAAGAGCCTAATTAGGGTTTTTCATAGTTTAGGTATCTGTTTTTGTTGGCAACATGTAATGAAGATTAATTTGATTTAATGAACTTCAGATTCTCTATACTCGAATTTCACATTAACATGATTTCATTTACAAGTTTGATTTTATTATGCGACACATATCTCATGCAACACACAACACAACACTGACTTAAAACCAAATTTTGTTTGAAATAAAAGAAGCATATTTGAACTTTTGAAGGTGGCTTAGTAATTTATCCAACACCAGACTTCAGCATGATCACTACCAAAGTTTACTTCTTATTGTTATAGCAAATATTAATTACAGTTTTCAGAAAGATTCTGTTTTCTTTTTTTTTGTTCGTGGAATAATTAAGCTATAAAAACCACATAATAAACCGGCAAAAATAAAAAAAAAAATAAAAAACAAAAAGGAGAAAAGGAAACAAGAACCGAAAAATGGAAAAAGTGGAGATAAAAAGGAAATTGCATAAACGCGTTAGAAGTTAGAACAAATTATAATCAGACCTATGCTTATAAAAACATAACATTACACTTTAATTCTCCACAATTTCGTATCCAATCTCTTACGAATCATCTTTTCTCTCTGGTTTTGTTTAATTTCACTCCGACAATGGATACTGAAACTATCAAACTCGATGTTCATGTAACCGCTTGGTTTCGTACTCCATTGTCAGGGTTCTTAAGCAGTGTAATAATCAGCCGAGACAGAGAGTTCGAGGAATTTATCATAGACGGGCACGATGATAGCGTCACAAGTCTCGGATCTTACCGGGATCCTTCTCGAGGTCCCGACCCACTAATCTTTCTAAACTTCCAAAACTTCGAACCAAACTACGTCTATCAACTTCTCCAAAGCCAACTACACGATCATGTCTTGTCCGAACAAATAGCTGGTCAGATTTTAGTCGAAGCCCAACGACTAAGAAGTCAAAGTTCTGAATTGCCACAACAACCTTTATTCATGATGGTCTCCGTCAAATTGACACAGAAAGGATACACTTTCGGGACTTGTAACTCTGCTACTTCGACAACAGATTTAGACCACGAGAGCGAAGAAGACGAATCGGAGACATGAACCCATCTGTCAAATGCCTAATTGTTCGAATCTGTTTCATGAAGAATGTGTCGTTAGTGGTTTGAATCTGACATAATTACGAACCACAAGACTGAAACAGAGTTTAGGGTTTCAATACATGTTTTATTTTTGTGTGGTTGTAATGATGTAGTTAACAAGAGTGAAACAGAGTCTAATTAGGGTTTCACTTATGTTTTAGTGTAATCTTTGTCGTAGAATTTTAAGATGCTAATTAGGGTTTTCTCATTGTTTATGTCTTGATCTCGATACCTTTTTGTTGACAACTTGTAATGCAGTTTTGATTCAATGATGTGTGCATTGTGATTTTGAGACATGTTCCTCTGTGCTTGAGGGTCTGTGAATTCATGCCCTAAGCTTTCAAATTCTAGCTAGCTTCATCTGAGCCATAGCAGCAGGACCAGGAAGCTTCTTCCGTAGAAGCCCCCTTAGGCTTTGACACTCTGCTTCAAGTTTTGCAATCTTTTTCACACCTTCCAAATGCTGCTTAGTTGCGATTAGTCTTCAACTTTTCCACATCAGCTTCAACTTTAGACCTCTCCTAATCTTTACCATCATCTCAGTGAGTGCTGCATTGTCAAAACTGAGACACACAATCATGAGGGGCTCTTACCATTGGAGATGGTCTTATATTTCTACTCAGACACACAATCAAAACACAAAAGACTTCAACTGAAATTTATAACTTATCAAAACTGACACAATAGCACTACTAATCTTATATAAAAACAGAACTCTGGTGTAAATTAAAGCACCTGATTCTCCGGAGAAGCTAAATAGGACAAAGAACAAACAGGAGTTGACTCATTTCCAACAACTGGTTTCTCAGTCGTGGCTTTGTCCGAAGACTTTCTCTTCCATGGCCAAATATTTTTGGTAGTTTCAGTTTCATTTTCGATTATTACAGTTGGATTTAGGTGAACTTTATTGGTTGGAGACTCCTGATCTTAAATTGATATTTAGGATTAAATATTTTATAGAAGCCCCTAAAACTTTCGATGATTTCAGACGAACCTTAGCACATAATCAATCTTTTCTAGTATGTGAACAGCATTATGCTTTTTCTTTTTGTAAAATATTTGAACACATTAGCGTTTTTGGACAATCCAGTTTCCTACAGGTAAAGAAAAATTAGCAGATGTTATCTACAAAATATCACTTTAAACATGCTTAAGTCAGAGAAAACAAGACTACTATAGAGGTCTTTAAAAAGATTTTGATAAACTATTAGTTTGCTCCCAAGTAACATGTAACACAATTAGCACATAAACATGATAACCAGAAAGAGAAAAAAAATGGTAAGCCAACATTTTGTGATAAAGCTCATACAAAACTAGTAAATGAGAAGTGACACACTCAAATGCAACATAGAGAGAATATTATAAAGAAAACTTCTGCAGCCATGGCTATGGCTCGAATAAAAACTTCTTTGATAACTTTTAGCTGACTTAATGATCTTTTGTAGATGATGTTGATGTGCTCGTGACTTTACGCTTCTGTTCTGGTGGGCTGATAGATGCTGGAGCACATGTTGTATTCATAATGTTAAACTTAAGATCCTCTACATCGTCTGCAAAAGCGTAAACTCTATACCCGTTAAACCATCCATGGCCAGTGCCGGCTCAGATGGGTGGGCGGGCGGTGCGACGGCCAGGGGTCCAATTCCGTAGTCCAATAATTAAGGGGCCCATTTTCTAAAATATTTTTTTAAAAATATTAAAAAATTAGATTATAACATAAAAATAAAATTTTGAAAGGTCTATAAAATTTTTTATTTATTGTTTTTAGTATTAGTAATTAATATTTTTAACAAAAATAGCATATAAAATTTTTTTACAGCAAAAAAACATTAAAAAAATTTTCTAAGAATCCAAAATTTTTTTTTTGCCCTAGGGCCCATAAAAATGTTGAGCCGGCACTGTCCATGGCGTTCCCCAAATCTTGGATTTCAACACTAAGGAGAGTGTTCTTTTCAGGATTGAAGTAGAAAACATAAAACGGTTTAATAGTGTTTATGATGATACTACCTTTATCCTTCGACAAAACAATTTCACCTGTAGCAGTCGTCCCAACAACAAAAAGATTGTTTTTAACCTTAACTAGATTATTATCAGCCTGCAAAGTGTAGACATATTTCAACCATTTACGTTTCTCGACATCCTCTAGAACCCACATACATAACTCAAGGGGAAATCCACCATCACAAGCATACTTTAAACTAATCCCACCTAATTTACCCTTATAGTTTATCAATTGTGTATGTAATGAAACACCAAAGTGTTTTGCATCTATAAACATGAACTTCTCAGACCTGACATCAAAGCAAACTATCCCACAAGACCAGTCATCAGTTTTTCTAGCTAAATAAAAAACAGCCCCATTGAAGCATTTTGCTTCACCTAAACGCTCATGGCTTAAGGGACATTGGATCTTCCTCCAACTCATTTTTCCAGTTCCTAGTGTCAAAATATGATGATCATCATATACACAAGCCATGACCAGTACCTTGAATTGCTTGTCAATGGGATCAAACCCTAAAAAACTTCCCGCCTGTCGGTAACTTCTTAATTCAGGTAAAATCACATATTGTCCTGTGCTAGGGTTACATATCATATGCACATCATCGTACTTCTCCTCCTTTGAGATCCGCATACTAGAGAAATAGATTAAACCATTAGCATAGCTACTAGTGTATGGGTTTCTTCCTTTAGAAAACTTCATATGAAAATCCGCAGCAACTACAAGAGACGATTTCCCATATGGATTCTGAGGCTGAGGCGATGAGAAGAAGCTCCACTCACCGTATTCTACGACTGCGAATAACAGACGTGGACGAGCCAAGGACCTGGTCAAGAACAGTTCGGTGAAATATGGACCGCGAAGCATGGACCCCCATAGCTTCGACACGCAGAGAAACCTCGCGATTGACTTTTCGGGCAATCTCGAGAGTATATCCAGAATGAGATCCATCGGGATGGAAGTCATGATCGTATTTGCTGATCGGACTCAGAGGGAGAGTGATATAGGAGGAATACATATCATTGGGCGTCTTCGGGGGCCTAGGGCATTAAGCTTTGTTGATTTCGGTTTAAATTCGATTTGATTTTGGTTTAAAGGAATAAAAACCGATCAGCATCCTTTATTTTGTTCTTATAAAGATTACAATGACTCTATCAAGAGATATGGTTGTCTATTTGTTACTTGTTAGTGTTCCCTTGTCTATTTTTTGGGTTTCACATGAAGAATTTTGTATGATATATATTAAACAAAAACGAAAAAATTCAGTCCTCCTTAGAAGTTTTGAAGAAGATTGAGAATCGAAGACTAAATCATGGGAGCAGCCTGCAATGCGAGAGTAATATATGGTCCCAACTTTTCAAATTGGTATCGGCACAACAAGCAAATTAGAGATTGTAAGTAGAAAATCAAGTCAGAAATTTGAGTTTAACCAAACAAGTTAAAAGATATTGGACTAAATCAGTACCATTAATAATTAAAACAGCATTTTATCGAGTTCTTATAGCCATATATATAATATAATGAAAATTTTGGTCTAAGTTATATCGAGTTTTTATAGGGATTTTTGCCACACCGCACATTTAAAATGAGATAGTTGTTGACGTATTCAACTTAAAACACATTAGGGTAAATAATAATTGATTATGTGGATTGTAAGCTCATTCTCTAAATCTCAAGTCTTAAACCCGGTTTGGCTCGGCATGATACACACGGTTCAGCACATATGTCTAGTTAGGATTTTTCCTTTAATTTTCGAAATGCGACATTTGATCATTTAGTCAAATTACAAGCTATCCGAGCTAGCCACTTCATACTTCCATTTCTTATTCAAAAGAACTCGATTTTTGACAATACAATACACCACCATGTAGTGTTCACGGAAACGATTGCATCCTGCCCAAAAATTGGTCATCCCGATGAGCGCTTTCATCGGAAATTCCCTGAACAACTTTTGATTCGACTTTGATTTGGTGTTTTTGGTTTAGCAAGCATAGGGATTTAACTTCAGTTTCATACTAGACTTGGATTTGGTAGTCTTTTTGGTAGTTTTAGCTTCATTTTTTGGTATAGATTAGTTTCTGTTTCGATTTTTATATTTGGATTTAGGTGAACTATATTGGTTGTAGACTCCTCTTAAATTGATATATAGAATCATTAAATTTCAGTTTTTATTTACTTTGCAATCATACAAGATAATATAATCAATAGAAATTAAGGATTACAAAACCAATCATTTCGATTATTTCAGCCGAAGCTTAGCATTTTGGATAATCCAATTTTCTACACGTAAAGAAAGCTTATCTACAAAATATCACTTGAAACATGTTTTTGCCAGCGTAAGTTAGAGAAAACAAGAATACTCCAGAGGTCTTTAAAAAACTTTTGATAAAACATTAGTTTGCTCCAAGTAAAATTTAACACAATAAGCAAAGCTCACACGAAACAAGTAAATAAGAAGTGTCACACTCAGAGGCGACAAAGGGAGAATATTAGGAAGCCATGGCTATGGCTCGAATTTGATAACTTTTAGCTGACTTGGGGAGCAATCAGGTTTTGACACCGGTAGAACCATCATCATCTGAAATACACAGAACATCAAATATGTTAACGCTCTCAAACGTACGACGATCTTTTTGCAGGTGAGCAACGGTCCTCATTTGATGATTTTCTATAGATGACGTTGATGTGCTTGTGGCTTTACGCTTCTGTTCTGGTGGGCTTATAGATGTTGCAGCAAATGTTGTCTTCATTATGTTAAACTTAAGATCCTCTACATGGTCTACAAAAGCGTAAACTTTATGACCCATAAACCATTCATGGCGTTCTCCAAAATCTTGGATTTCAACACTTAGTAGAGTGTTCTTTTCGGGATTGAAGTAGAAAACATAAAACGGTTTAATAGTGTCTATGATGATATTACTTTTATTCTTCGACAAAACAATTTCACCTCTAGCAGTCGTCCCAACAACAGAAAGATTATTCTTAACCTTAACGACTTTATTCTCAGCCCGCAAAGTGTAGACGTATTTAGACCATTCATGTTTCTCAACATCCTCTAGAACCCACATAGATAACTCAAGGGGAAATCCACCATCACAAGCATACTTTAAACTAATCCCACCTAATTTACCCTTGTAGTTTATCAAATGTGCATTTGATGTATCACAAAAGTGTTTTGCTTCTATAAACATGAATTTCTCAGACCTAATATCAAAGCAAACTATCACATAAGACCCGTCATCAGCTTTTTTAGCTAAGTAAAAAACAACCCCATTGAAGCATACTCCTTCACCACAACGATTATGGGTTAAGGCACATTGGATCTTCCTCCAACTCATTTTTCCAGTTCCTAGTGTCAAAATATGATGATCATCATATGCATAAGACATGGAAAATACCTTGAATTGCTTGTCAACCGGATCAAACCCTAAAAAATTTCCCGCCTGTCCGTGTTGGTGTTTTTGCTCTTGTATAATTGTAGAAGCCATTGCTTCAAATACAGAGCATGGTAGAGAAAACAAAGAATTGAAAAGTGGAAAAACTTCTTTATTATTCTCGACAGTTTCTACATAAGACAACATACACACTTATATAGATGTGTACATAACTAACTACTCTACGTAACCCTTGGTAAGAGTTGTAACTTTTCCGACAAGTTACGTATCTTACTCACACCCTTTCGTAGTAAGTAACATGTAGCACATAACATCCGTTGACTTTACATACAAACTATAACATATATGATATTACAAGATTTAATCATGGACACAAATTCTAACAGTCCGTACCTTCTCAGTAATTTAGGCAAGATCACATATTGTCCCGTGCTAGGGTTACATATCATACGCACTTCTTCATCGTACTCCTCCTTTGAGATCCACATACTAGGGAAATAGATCAAACCATTAGCATAGCTACAAGAGTGTCGGCTGACGCCTTTAGATAACTTCATTTGAAAATCGGCAGCTACTACAAGAGACGATTTCCCATATGGATTCTGAGGATGAGGCGATGAGAAGAAGCTCCACTCGTCGCATCGTACGACTACGAATAACAGACGTGGACGAGCCAAGGACCTAGTCAAGAACATTTCGGTGAAATATGGACCGCAAACAATGGACCCCCATAGCTTCGATACGCAGAGAAACCTCGCGATTGACTTTTCGGGTAATCTCGAGAGTATATCAAAAATGAGATCGACCGGGATGGAAGTCATGATCGTGTTTGCTGATAGGACTGAGAGGGAGAGGCTCTAATATAGAGTTCGGGGGGGGGACCTAGGGCATTAATTTATACCGAACCAAATGAAGTATTAATTTATTCGGTTTGATCTCGATTTAAAGGAATAAAAACCGGTCACCAATATTCTTTACTCTATCACGAGATATGGGAGATATAAATGTGGTTCCCTTGTCTCTTTTTCTGGTTTACATGAAGAATTTTCTAATGATAAATATTAAACAAAAACGAAAATGCAGTGGTCCCTAGAATTTTTGAAAAAAATTTGAGAATCGAAGACTTAATCATGGAATCTGCAATGCGAGAGTAAAGGGAAAAGTGGCAAACAAGGATGGTATCTGCACAATAAGCAAATTAGAGATTATGAGTAGATAATCAAGTGAGAAAGTTCAATTTAACCAAACAAGTTAAAAGACATTAGACTAAATCAGTACCATTATTAATAATTAAACAGCATTTTGTTGAGTTCTTCTTAGCCATATAATGGTAAATTTGGCCTGAGTGTAGGGAATTTTGCCACATCCCATGGTTTTGTCTACAGTATTTGTTAGTGTTGCCTTGTCTTGAGAAGTATTTTAATGATAATTTATGTCTTATGATCATACCAGTGAACTTATAATTTAAGAGCTAAACTTATAATTTATGTAACTCCGATCCACTAAACTTATAATTTAAGAGCTCTAATATTATAAGTCTTATAGAATTATCATGAAGTAAATTTATCCACTACAACTATAAACACATAAAAGGATATAAAGACATATCGAAAAAATGCTTGTACAAGTATAATATCGGAGATCTAGAGAAAATATTTCCTTGTACGTCTTAGTTTGACGAAACCACAAATCATGATTCCTAAGATACAATCTTGATCTCCAAGTCATCACCATTATAAAGTGAAACTAAATTAAGTTTCGGGTCTCTCAATGTAAACCTATTACGGAACACTAGATAATTCTTTTCAATAAGTAGTCTTCTTTTTTTTGATAAGGAGTCTTGTTCATGCATCGTCACTATAAGGCAATCTATACTAGTATAATCGCAGCACTTTTTGTGACGGGTGGGTAAAAAAGCTTTCGGATATATCGGATATCCGACCCATTTTTAAAATTCCTTCACAAAAAATTTGTTGGGTCGGGTTATATTTAACCCAACTCATACACCGGATATTCCATATTTAATAATTTAGATTTTTAGAAGATTTGATTAAGATTTATAATTATGATTCTCCTATCATCTTTGTTTGATTTGTTTTTAACTGTTTTGAATCATCATATAATACATAAAGTAAAAAAAAAAATCAATTTTTTTTCTGCATATACTGTGATTCGAAATTTTAAAAACGGACATATATTATCCAATTGACGAAAATGTGTGTTCAACGTTCTCCATCGATTAAAATATTTAGACAATGATTGAGAATCATATCATAAATAAGAACATTAATAAAATAAATGAGTTTTTTGGCGGGATGGGTTTGGCGGGACGGGTTTTTGAATCAACAATAATAAAAAGATTAAAATATCATTAATCTGCCGCTTCAATACGGATTTAATCCTTATTTTTTTAATACAAATCACAGGACGGGTTAAGCAATTACGGAACGGGTTATATTTCGGAAATGATTTATATGGCGGACGAATTTGAATCAATATTTATATACCGCTTTAATACGGGTTAAATCCTCAGTTTATTAATAATTATCTCGTGGACTCGTGGTATACCGTTACTTAATAACAATTATAAACTATAATATAAATAAATATGTTATAAGGAGATACAATTTACAAAATATTTTTATACTAACTTTAAAATTAAATCATCCCGCGGTATACCGCGGGTTAAAATCTAGTTTTTATGTAAAATACTAGGATATGACCCGTGGTACACCGCGGGTTAAATAAATTTTTGTTTGTGTTTTTATAACTTAATTATTTGTGTTATATATATTTGATTAAGAAATTTTTTGTTTATAATCTTATGATTGGTTGTATTTGGTTTGTAATAAAAGCTAGATTTTACTCCGCGGTGTACTGCGGATTGATATTTTTGTAACTAAAAATTTTAAATTTTAAGTTGTAGTTGTTTTGTTAATATTGTTTGTTTTGTTTAGTGTTTATGATTGTATACTTTTATTTTATTTGTTAATTCTAGGATTTCACCCGTGGAACATCATCCCATATTAATATCAACCCAAACTCGTCCCACCATATAACCCCGTCCCGTGAAATTAAACATTATTTTGTTATTTTTCTTTTTAAAAATATTTTGTTTTAAAAACATATAATTCGAGTCAATTTACACCGCGGTACAATTGGTTCATTTGGTACACCGCGGGACTATTTTTTTTTAAAAAAATTTAAATGTAAGTTGTTTTGTTTGTTAATAGATAAAAAATATATTTATTTGTATATTTTAAATGTACCATCCATATATATATCTATATTTTGTTTTAGGTTTACGGTTAATAAATATAGGAACGGTAACATATAATTCCGTAAGTAACGATTAGTTGTGAGAGAATAATATTTTTTTTTAGAAATTATATGAGGGAATCATATGAGGGAATCGCCAGCTCCCCGGGATGTGGGGTACCCTAGGGCAGATGACGCATGTGGGTCCCATGCTAGTCGGTTCCACTTCGGTGGGGCCGGACACCCGAGTTATCAAAAAAAAAAACAGAATAATATTTTTTTTTAGAAATTATAGTTTCTAATCTATATTATAAAATTTGGTAATATAAGTTAAATATTTTTATGTTTTATCATTTTGTTTGTTCGCAAAATAAATAATAGATCAATTTAGAATATATAGTGTTGTTGTGCAATGAAAATATGAGTGATATCAATTATGAATTTCATATCAAATATAGTTTTAAGTCAATTGTTTTATAAACTTTGATTATTAAACTGAACCAATTCTAATATAATTTTCCGAATTGAAACAAAACTGTATGTTGGTCTTTAAATATAATAACTATCATATAGACAGAGTTGGTAATTGGATTTTTGTATAAAAAAGGAAGTGAATAGATAATTAAGTATTTTGCACAAATTAAAAAAATCAGATAATTAATTCTACATTGTTGTCGGCACCAGTCTTCATCTTCTTTGTTCAGAACCAATTTCACTCTTCTTAATTTAAGCAGCAGAGGATTTCACTCTTCTTAATCTTGATACAAAATCGTTGTCATTAGGAGCTGATATTCCAATTGATTTCTTCATCTGCTACTCGGAAAGATCAAACGTTACACCGTTTGCTACGAATTCCACTGTTTCAACATCTCTCACATGAGAAGTAAATCGTTAAAATTCGTTTCCTTTTCTCTTTTACTCTTCGAATATATCTCGTTTTATTCCTGATTCTTGTAATTTTATGCTCGATCCATAGCTGTGAATAGAAGATTTCATCACCAATCGTCTATAACCTCAAATCCAAACGATTCTTCTTATGGATATGAGGTAAAGTCTTCGATGGCCACCATAATCCCTTGTTTATTCTTTGCATTCTCTCAAGCATCAGACTTCAAGAAAGGTAAAGCCTTTTCTAGTTTGAAGCTTAGTTTTTCTTTGATGATTTGTTTTGGATGTTTCCAAATACCAAATGACGATACTTGAATATACTTTAGGTCATGGCAATGGTTTGTGCAAGTTCCAGGGAGTTGGATTTGTAGAAATTAACAGCATTATCGCTTTGGGGTGGACAATTTTGGAGTAAATTTAAGGAATTGGTTTCTTCTTTGAGCGACTTTGGGTTGATCTATTTCCTGAGTAGTTTGTGAGGTACTTCTTTATGATATTAAATCTTTCTTTTACCTATCAAGTGATGGGTTATGATCTGAATCATTGATTGAGACGATTATAATTAGGAAGATTGGTTTTGTCGTCAAGGAGATTTTTGGTGGTGCTTTGCAGAGCCAGATCAAGTGTTTGTCATGTGGTGCCGAGTCAAATACAGCCGATGAGATTATGGATATCAGTCTTGAAATTTTGCATAGTATCTCTATCAAGGAGTCTATGCAAAAAAAATTTCAATCAGAGATTTTAGATGGCAACAATAAGTATATATGCGAGACGTAAGTGATTTCTCTTCTTTCTGACTCTTTCAGTTTGTGCTTCTGTTTTTTTTTGTACTGAAATTTTTACTTTGATTTAGCTGTGATAAACTGGTGACGGCGAGGAAGCAGATGTCGTCTATACTCCAAATGCCTAATATCCTTGTTATCCAATTGAAAGTAAGTGAATATATTTTTGGTAGATCAAATGGATTCCTAAGCTTTCAAATACACTCTCCACGTCACTGAAGTTCCAATCTTTAGCTAAGAAGATCATATTTACTTAGTAGGCATAATCGATGATCTTTAGCATGGATGATGCATTGGAAGTTTAGAAGATAGAGATAGTAACAAATCAAGATCTGAAAGCAGTATAATATTTCTTGGATCAAAAATGTGTATCACAGAGAGATATTGCTAAGTTCTAGAAACGATTCTATCACAAAATATAAAGTTAAGTACTCCTCAATTTTACCATATTGTATCAATTTGTGCAGATGTTGTTTACAATAAGAATTGGTTGTCATTGCCATATAGCTTATTGTTATACATGAACGGTAGTAAGTAATGTTATATGTAGCTAATTGCCAATATTTTTATGCAGACCAAAAGTCATGGAAGCAACAAATGGAACGCAATTAGCAAGGATTAGAAGTTCCAGGTGCGTATTTACTCTACCAGTAAAACGTTTTTTGATAGACGTCGTGCATATTGAAGTAACATAGGCAATAAATTGTAATAGAATGTTGTAGATAAATATTGAAACCTGATTCAGAAGGATAATTTTGTAAGTATAGATGACAGTTTGAGTAAGATAGAAACTTATTATGATTCTGATTGTCCTTTCTCTGAAATTGCTCTGTCAGTCTCTTTCTTCTGATTGAATTCCCAAGCTAACGTAGCCATTGGAAGAGAAGAAAGGTATGCTAAATATTGTTAAATGATTGTACGCTCTTGTGTTTGGTGATGGAACTCCATGGTTTAGGTGTAAAGTATTTATAGGGAAGTAAATTAGGGTTCGTTTATTGAGAGGCTGCTCTCTAAAATTAAAAACGACGCAAGATTTGTGGGATACAATCTTTGATATTATTGTGTTTATGGAATATGCTAGGATCAATCTTTTATTTGGTAATTAATATTCTTTATATATTTCGTTATTTTGATAGATATTTTAGGAAAAAATTACTTGAAGTTCAAGGTGGAGTGTTTAAATAGAAAGAGATATCTCGGCACATATCTATATTCAATCTCGGGATTGATATAATTGGAGAAGTAAATCTCGGCAATCTCGGCATTAATTCTCGAAGCACAATAATATCTAAATTGATGATAGAATTAAGAGCTAGTAATATTTTGGTAGTTAAGTTTGAGATATTTTAGGAAGATTGAATTCAATATGTCGTTTAAGCTTAGTAACTAATTCTGTAGTTAAATATTTCGTTGGTTTAAGTTTAGATTTTATAGGAATATTTAAGATTATTTAATTATATTCTCCATATCTTTCAATAATCAAAGAGTAAATGTTGTTTGCCTTGAATGTAGGGAATATCAATTAAGGAAATCTGCTATTGAAACAAAGTCGGGTAAAATATCAAAATTGGAAGGATCCAAGAGACTTATTTCCGGGTCGAAATAAATGATTTCCGGGTCAAAATTTTGACCCGATTGGGGACCCCAAAAACTGCTGCAAAAATGTATAGTAGATAAATGGTTTTGAGGTCGATATATATAATATAACTTTTAAGAAAAATAGTAAATTTGAATGGTAAGGTCAAGAAAAGAAAGAAAGGACTGAGGCGTAAGTGTCCATAAATCTCCTTTCTTTGTAACTCAATCACTGGCGATTTCGAAAGCGATTTGCCTTGCTTTCGATGAATCCGAGGGAGATTCAATTGCTTCAAATATTTTGCCCGTGAATTAAGTGATGATGATAATTTATGTAGTTTCTAGTATTCTCCTCTCTTTGTTTCTCGTCTCAATTCACCGTAACTGTTCTTTATCTCAACTTTGTCTTCTCGTCGCGGCGGTTACGGTTTTTACTTATTTTCTAATACTCAATGGCTCATCAAAATCTAGCGAATTTTTACTTGTGGTTGGCTGGTTGCCGATGGTGATTCAGCTTGGGGATTGGTGAGCAGAACAATAATTGGCTTCTCAGTTGCTCTCTCTTTCAATTTAAAGTTTTTCAACCGCTGGTAATGGTTCGTTTTCCTTTGCCCGCGATGTCTTTGGCGATGACTCTCTTTCAACGGATCAGGCGATGATTTCTCTCAATTTCCCTACAGGAGATTTGAATGTTCTTCTGATCGATTATGTGTGGATGATCACAATTATCGATGGTTTTCTTCCTGACGGTCTCCGGCGGCTACTCTTTGTTTGATATATTTTCGAACGGCTTTGATTTATCGGTCCAGTTTCATGATGAAATTTTGACTTCATTATTGTCGAAACAACCGCCATGGAAACCACCATGGAAATCAATGAAGCATGTGCTCTCTATGAAGAGTTTATCAACTCTCCATGGTGACAAACATTCCCAATACTTTTGTGGTGAAGGAATAAAGCATAAAATCACCGAAAATCAAGTCTACGGAGAAGCAATCTAACGGTGAAAGGTAAGATATCATGTATCATTAACTGGCAACGATGTGTAGGGTTTTACAAAAAACATGATCAATATCCATTCCAAGCAACATATCAATATGTTCTATTATTCAGAGTGATGCGGAATGCATTTTGGAGTTTCATCTATAAGATGTTATCCTTTTACGAGTATATGAAGAAGAGACTTAACAAATATTATATGTTGCCTGTAAGGCTTCCGGTTGGAAAGTAGGGTCACTTCCACTTTTTCATCGAAATTATGTTTAATTTCCCTTGTATTTGAATGTTTCTTATGTATCATGTAAAACTCTGATTATATAATATGATCGATTTGCCGATTAAAAAAAAAAAAGTTAAAATGAATATATGGAAAACCAAGAAAAAAAAGGAAATTACATTAATTAGGGTTTTGCTTATATGAACACAATATTACACTTTCGCTTCTCCACAATCCCCTCTCTGTTATTCCAATTTCTTACAAATCATCTCTCTCTCTGTCTCTGATTTTTGTCTAATTTCACTCCGAGTATGGAAACTGACTCAACCAAACTCGATGTTCAAGTAGATGTAGCGGCTACGTCTCAAGATCCGTCGTTAGGGTTCTTAAGCACGGTAATAATCACTCTAGACAGAGAGTACTTGAAGGATGATAGCATCAAGAGTCTAGGATCTTACCCTGATTCTTCTAGTATCGACTCACCAATCGTAGTCTAGCGATCTCTATAGCGAACTCCGAGATTATGTCTTGACCAAACATATACTTGATGAGATTGTCAAAGCCCAACTACGAATCCAAAGTGTTGATCACTTGCCGCCACAACAACCTTTATTCATGGAAGTCTCGGTCAAGTTGACACACAAGGTATACAACGTTGTGCCTTGTAGTTCTGCTCCGTTGGCAACAGATTTGGAGACTTGCCTCATCTGTTTCGAGGATCTGTCTATGAGATCCTATGAATGCTACCAATTGCCTGATTGTTCACATTGTTTTCACGAAGAATGTGTCGATGAGTGGGTGATTCGACAAAATTACTATTGCCCTGTCTGTCGCCGACCCTTTTATGAACAATCAGAGTGAAACGGAGTCTAAAATAGGGTTTCAAATTTTACTTTTGTTCTGTGTGTGGTTGTAATGATTTAGTTAATCCGTGTGTTGGAAGTCTAATTAGGGTTTCAATTATGTTTTTGTTTAATCTTTGTCGTAGACTTTAAGATACTAATTAGGGTTTTTCATAGTTTATGTATCGATCTTGATACTCTGTTTTTGTTGACAACATGTAATCAGTTTGATTTTATAGAATTCAGTCAGATTCTCTAGACTTGAAGTTCGCATTATTATATTTCATTACAATTTTATCGTTTCTGGTCCTACATTTTTGTTTCTGGTTAGTGCAACCTTATTTCTTGGGTTTTAATAGTTCTGAGGTGCAAGTTTATTACTAGTATCTGAGTTTGGCTTGCAACACAAACTTACAAAAACCAAATTTCGTTTCAGATAAAGTTAGATTAAAGAAGCAACTATGAAATGTTGTGGTTAAGTGGTTCTGATTCAACTTTGAGGTTTGTTTAATCACAAGGTTAAGTGGTTCTAATAAAGTTAAACCTTAAAGCGGTCCTTTCTTAATCTTGTGATTAAACAAACCTCAAAGTTGAATCAGAACAAACCTCAAAGTTAAGAAAGCCGTGTCTGGTTTAAACAAACCTCAAATTTCGTAGAAAGCCGTGTATATGTCGAAAGAACCGCTTTAAGAGCTTGGATAGATCCGTGGCTATGGTTGGACACATGACAAGGCTGGAATGAGACAATGATTAGCTCTATGGTTGAAGAAGAAGACGTCAAACCGGATTTTATATCTGAGACTGTCTCCACAAGCTTCTCAAGATCTCCTAGGATGGCATTACAATTAATACGGCAGAAACTACGAAACTACGAAACATCTCTATTTTTTTTTATTCTCTTTATGCTCAAGCTACATGGATGGAGAGCGGCAGGATTATCGAATGCTATAACGCAGGCGAAGATGGCTACAATCATCTATAGTGCTAGACTGGCTAAGTAGCTATTGATCATAGCTATGGATCCTTTGGAGATTGTGGAAAAGTAGAAATCAGTCTCTCACTGGCTAAGAATGATGCGCGAGAATGGCTAAGTAGCTATTGTTCATAGCTATGCAACACTGTTGGTGTAAAGGATATCGGAGAATCGTTTTTAAAGGAGACAACAAGGGAGTTGTGGATTTACTACTTGGTAAATGCCGAAACTTCAATGTTTTCAACTGGATCCGTGAAGCCAGAGACTTGAAGAGCTGATTTGATAATGTCTTAGAAGATTAAACCAAACTGCATGCAGATATATCTCTACTCTCTTAGCTAAGACTGCAATTCCAAACAATTCTACTTTCATTTTCATGAGCGTGCTCCTCTCTGTTAGAATATTAGGAAAGCAAATATTCTATATAATAACTATAGTATATACAAGAGAATATTTCCTAATATTCTAACACTTTCTTAAGAGATGAAAGCAAACAGAGCTTGACTTTGTAGGTCTACAATTACAAGACACAAATATTTGGAAACAGAGCAAAAATATAGAGCCATCTGATTAGATGCTTCTCAAGGCTTGAGGCGAGACGAGAAACCATTGTTGGAGAAGATCTCGGAGATTCGGTCTGGTCATGTAGCCGAGCGAGTTAATTCTGTTGCGAATGAGCTTCTCAATTTGCCTAACAATCTTGTATTAGTGCAGTTTGATCTAATGAAACTCAGGTTCTCGAATTGAATTTCATCACAAGTTTGTTTCGGGTATGAGACAAAAATCTTGATTGGCAAGCAACTTAAATTTTGATTAGACGTACTGAACTAAGAACATTGCGAATCATATTTTCCATTTTGATCTATTAGTTATAGCAAATATTAATTACAGTTTTAAGAAAGATTCTCTTTTTTTCTTTTGTTCGGTGGAATAATTATGTTGCAAACCACATAATAAACCAGCAAACAATTGAAAAAAAATATTTGGTTTAAGCTCTCTGGTATAATGAGATATTTTAACAACAAGAAAAAAAAAATGGAAATCAACAATAAATGAACGTTAAAAATGCTTTAAAGAAAAAAGGAAATAACAAAGGAAAAATGGAAATAAGAAAAGAAAAATGGAAATATGGAAGAAAAAAGGAAATTACATTAACGCGTTAGAACAAATTATAATCAGAGTTTTTTTTCTTATATAAACACAACATTACCCATTCACTTCTCCACAATTTCAATTTTCTCAACAATCTCTCTCTCTTATTCTTATCTCTTTCTTACGAATCATCTTTCACTCTGTCTCTGATTTTTGTCTAATTTTCACTCCGACAATGGATACTGAATCTTTCAAACTCGACGTTCATGTTAAGGCTTGGTCTCAAGCTCCATCGTCAGGGTTCTTAAGCACGGTAGTAATCAGTCTAAACAGAGAATTCGAGGAATTTCTCATTAACGAGAACGATGATAGTGTCATGAGTCTCGGATCTTACCCTGATTCTTCTCTTCACGACCCACTAATCTCTCTGAAACTCCCAAGTTTCAAACCAAACTACGTCTATCAACTTCTCCAAACCCAACTCCACGATCATGTCTTGTCCGAACAAATATCTTATAAGGTTGTCGAAGCCCAACGGCAAAGAAGTCAAAGTTTTTACTTGCCACAACAACAACCTTTATTCATGATAGTCTCTGTCAAATTGACACAGAAGGTATACAACGTTGTGCCTTGTAGTTCTGCTTCGTTGGCAACAGATTTGGACCAAGAGAGCCAAGAAGAAGAAGAATCGAAGACTTGTGCCATCTGTTTGGAGAATCTGTCGAGATCCGAGGATTATTGCCAGATGCCTTATTGCTCTCATTGTTTTCATGAACGATGTGTCACTAAGTGGGTGGTTGGACATAATAACTCGTGCCCTCTCTGTCGCAAACCTGTTGACAAATAACAAGAGTGAAACAGAGTCTAATTAGGGTTTCAAGATATGTTTTTATTTTGTGGTCTTAGTGATTTTGTTAACTTGTTTCGAATGTCTATTTAGGGTTTTCACTTTTATGTTTTGTGTTAGAGGTAAATTAGGGCTTTTTCATAGTTTATATATCTGTTTTTGTTGGCAACATGTAATGCAGTTTGATTTAATGTAATTCAGATTCTATAGACTTGAAAGTTCACATTCACAAGTTTGATTCTAGTATGCAAACACATATCTCATGCAACACACAACACTGACTTAAAACCAAATTTTGTTTGAGATAAAAGAAGCAACTTTGAACTTTTGAAGTTGGATTACCAAATTAAAAGAAACAAGGAAACAATCCAATACCAGACACTACCACAGTTTCAGAAGTGAACTTGACGTGATCCTAGGTTCTGGATGTTGAAAAATCTTTCAAATCACCAGACGATACTAATGACTCTATCTACGGATTAACCAAACTCTAGAAGACTATTAGATAGATCAAAGCTCGACATGCTTGAAGTGATACTCATCGATAGTCGAGTATATTAGACCATCTCCTTCCAGTGATTGAACAACGCCCCTAAAAACACACCAGTAAAAAAACAAAGCAAAACTCATGATATCAACAACTTTGAGAGTAAAGAGAGAAGAGATTATAAGGAGAAAGGACAAAAGAGCATACTCTAGCTTGTTCTTTGGGACCTTCAATTGCTGAGCAATTTCATCAATGTGTATCCCCTGTTGTCTTGCACTGCAATGAACAAATAACAATTATCAGACCGGCTTTAGCAGACTCAAAAGTCTCATGCAAGCAAATTGAGTTTTGAACTTTTGAGTCGAAGTGGTGCAAGAAAAAGGAAACTCACGTGCAAGCAGGTTGCTTTAGATAGTCTAGAATCATATCATCCAAGTTCTTGCGCCCATTTCCGTCATTGTTTTGAGAAGAAACCACCTATAAAAGAGCAACAACAACGAGAATTTAAGAACAGGAACAAATGTCATGAAGAAAACCAAAAAAAAAAACTTGGTGAATCAACATACAGGGTTCAATGGTGTTGCCTGGTTTGTGTTTGATCCACCTTGAAACGTAGTGTTAACCGATTGAGTGACATCACCAACTTGTTGTCCCTGTTGAGAAAACACACATCAGAGAAGGAGGATTGATTGCAAATTGTGCCATATTCCATTTTCTTTACCTGTGATTCAGAGTTCTGGGAGTAGAAGTGTATACACTCAATGTAGTGAAAAGTAACCTCATTGAAGTCCATAATAGGCCTGCAACACAAAACAGACGATTTCATATATATCTAACAAAGCTTATATAGAACATACCAAAATCTATTGCCAATGCTATAGGATTCAAAAGCATTTCAAAACCAAAAATACAAAACATACCTCACAGAGAAAACTAGAAGCTGCGTTTTACCCTGAAAAGTCTTCAAATGACCATTGACACGCACATAAGTTCCATCTCTGTTTCACAATCTCACCATTAGAAAACACCTCCAAAACAAATATGATCTCACCACATAAATCAAACAAAAACCAAAGCTACTAACCGCACCGACTCCATTTCTCTAGCGTCGAAAGTTTCATTCACCCTATAACAAAGGAACAACAACACCAATTACAAACTTGATAAACTAACCATTGTACCTAAAACAATTCTTGCATAGTTTAAGAGTGTTTACCATCTTTTACAGTCAATTCGTCCTGTTCCATCATCAAGAGTGAATCTAACTTCTGTGACTTTAGAAACATCTTTATCACACACTAGACCAACAAGTGAGACCTGAATATACCAAAAACATCAAACAATTGAGTAAAACTTGTTGTATTCATATTGAAGAATAACGATAAACAAAAAGAGATCTAGAAATGGTTTACGTTTGTTAGTGAGATTCCATTGATAACGAGACCAGATTTTTCACCACTGGTCTGAAAACATTCAGTGATTTGCTTCACCGTCACTGGAACAAGACCTTGAAACTCACGATTCTGAAATTCCCCAAAAACACATACAAATCGGATTTAGAAATCCCAATATCGAACAATCTAGGGCAACTTTGGATCTGTAGTCTAATCGATGGATTATTACCTTAGCGGTGGAGGAAGAGGATTCGTAGGCCTGAGAAGGTTGAGAAGACATGAATCCGCCGCCGGAGAAGGCTGAATTAGGCTCGAATTGGCTGCTGGAGAACATTTTCGAAGCTTGGAAATTGGAAAATCGAAAGTATCTGTGAAGAGATTCGGAAGTTGAGAAGTGATCCAAGTAAAGGGAAGAGAAGATTTGGGGAATTTTAAGAGCGATGAAAGAATTTTTTGGGGAATTTTCCCTCCAATTTTGGATTAAGCTTCCCGCCAATTAGGGCTCAATAGTTCGCTCGCTTTATTATTGATTCGGCGAGGTAAATCTTAATATAATTACTTTTTAATTAATATGCAATTCAGTTTTTCTTTTTTTCTGTATTAGAAACTAATTAATTTGAGTTATGAAAAAATTAGAATCTAAAGAGACGCATTGGATTCCGTAAGAAATTCTTGTCGAGAGATATAGTCGCGGTTTGTGAGGAACTCGAAAATCGACTTGTGCATTTACATTGAGGCAATCTACATTAGCGAGACTCGAGAGAGTGAAGTCGAGAGCACGATTTGGTAAGCGGTAATGAACGAAACAGCACACCCATCATCACAATAGTAGAAATTACCCCATCAAAGCCAAAATTACCCTTATTCTTTATCTAAGAGATACAACAAACTCATAATAGATTAATGTAGAGTGTACACAAAGCACTGGGCAAGAGACACTTTGGTACTAGTGAAAAAACTTAGATAGGTTTTGGATTCACTCACCAACACAAGCTCCACAAAACTCTGGTTTTTGACACAAAATCAAACAAAGAGGAGAGACCTGAAAATCGAGGAACAAGACTAATACGTGACGTTGTTGGGCAGATTTCTGATGACGTTGCTCTTCATTCCGAGCCTGACACTGCTTTTCGCTCCTCTTTTGTTCATCTCTCTCATCACCTTCATTCTCACTATCTCCTCCTTCGAATGCACTGTTGCTAGACCCATCATCTTGTACCTGTGTTTTAAGACCCATTCACGTCAGATTCTGCAATGCTAATTCTATACAGAGACAGTAATAAACGATATCTGATGGTTTAAAGACAAACCTGGAGGTTAGAGAGTTGACAATATGCTTCTGAGAAGATGGTGGTGGCTTCTGTTTGTAGTAGCGCATGAATTCACGAGACCCAAGAGTCCTAGACGTTACTTTGTTATCGGTTCTCTTGGTGATCACAAGCTCAGACCCACCAAAAAGCTCTACAGTGTTCACTGACTCACCAGACACAACCATCTGATTATCGTCTCCAATGGCATAGCTGTACAAACACACACTCCAAAAGAAACAAAAAGTTCAAGCAAAATTTACACAAGATTAGCTAATAAGATACCAACAACAGAGGTGAAAGCAGAAGATATGAGACCTGCTGCTGTAGTCGTAGAACTCATCAAGTTCTGCATCTTCTTCATCACCACCATCACCATAATGCACTTTGCAATGACCTTTGGCGTCCATATGCTTTCGAACAGCTTCCAAACTGCTGAATGGATGGCACAATTCATTGCAGTACAGACACACAAAGTCTCTCTTGACCTGAAACAACAACAACAAAGATCTAAGACCCATGAACACCGAGGGATAAAGCGATGAGACAGACTAAGCAGAAAGCACAAACCTTTAGACCGAGGTAAGTTAAAAACCCTTTAGGATCCTTCAAGTACTCGATATCGGGAATGAAAAATCCATGGAACTTATGCATATGAACCATACATTTTTCAATCGTCTTATGCTTCTTATCACACATCAAACAACAACACGGATCCAACTCAAACTCAATACCATCCTCATCCATATCTTCTTCTTCTTCAGCATCCTCATTCATTTCCGCATCCAAATCCTCATCCGAATCAACCTCAGTCCATTCATCTTCACTCTCTTCACTCTCTTCCTCAATCGAACCCTTCAATTGAGCAGGGTTATTCTTCTCAACACGACGAGGAGCAAGCTGCTTAATAATCGCTTTATCCTGCTCTCCGCTACTCGTTGAAGCCTTCAAAACATGACTCTTAGACTTCAAATGCTGCTCATGAGCCTTGGAACTCCTGTAACCTTTATTACAGATTCCACAAGTATAAAGCATTGGTGCTTCAACAGCTTTAACCTTCTCTTGAGCTATAGCAGCTTGTCTAGCTTCAAATAATGCCTCTGTTACTCCAGGAACACCAGCTATCTATAACAACATTTCAAACAATTTCAAAACTATTTTAAATCACACTATTCATCAAAAGCATGACCTAGAAGAACCAAATCAATTCCATAAAACCTAGACGAACTTAATCTTGTAAACAAAAGCACGAGAGATTGAATTCACCTTGCGCTTGAGATTGTAACGGTGCCACTCGGATTTGTAGTGAAACTTTTGCTCAGCGTCGTCTTCGAACTCTTTGTTACACGAATTACAAGCTAAAGCTGACATCTCTCTCTATCTCTATCTCTTTCACAGGATTTTCCCGAGAAAACGAAGAAGAACTCAGAGAGAAAGAGTTCGAGGTTTAGGGATGGCTTATAGGAGGCGACGGCTCGTAGGTCGGCAAAATTTGTTAACGACAAATCTCCAAATCTTTGGTGCTTGCGTAAGCAGTGATGTTAATATGGGTCATGTTAAGAGGCCGTTCTGGTTTGTGAAGCTAATGGGCTTTTTAATATAACATAATGGGCTTTTAGATAAACTATATGGGCTTATTGTAACTGAAACCCTAATTTATTCTATAGATATGTACACTTATTATATATACGCTTTCTTCCTTGAGCGATTAGATGAGAAAGAATGATGATCTCCGATATTCCGGACGATTTTGAATTGGAACTCTAGGGTTCTTCTGGTTATAGCTTTAACATCTTCTAATGTAACACTGCGAGTTTCTCATTTCCAACAACTGATAGAACTGCGGTATCTTCTTTTGTTTAAAAGTTTTAATATTGAAGATACCGTGACACTATCTTTTGTTGGGAAAGAAAAACTCTCGGTTTTATTCAGAAGCTTTTTTATTTTTTGGTGTCAACATTAGAAGCTTCTTGATTTTTCTTCTGGTTTTAATTATTGATGTTCCTTTTAATCAAAAAAAGTTTCTTCTGGTTTTATATAATGATATTTACTCAAAGACATATAATGAATTCCATGGTGAGTCATGGTGAGTTTGAAAAAATATCTAAAATCTTTCACTGTGACGGTTTAATATTATGCTCTATTAAGGGGAACACTCGATTTTTGGTTTGGGAGATCAAACCGAGAACTCGTTACTAAAATTATTATTACTATGCTCTAGCCAACGTAATTATGATAGGTCCCAGTTATAGGACAATCAATGCTATCGAGAACAAAGACAAGAACACTTTGGTTCTCAAAGACTTTAGAACAAGTTACTACAATTTTTCTCTTCTTATTAGATTCTGCAATAAACGATGCTTAAATACACAAAGAAATAACTAACTACTAAGAAACGTGAAACGTGGGCAAGTTAACACATTCCCACTAATTAATTAAAACAACTAAAACTGATCTCTTGGCCACGTCATCTTCTTCCTCATTGTATCTCATCAAATTATAAAGTCTTCTGGCCATCGCTTCAAAATATTGAGGTCTTGCTCTTACCAATGACCAGAACCAATGGGTCTCTGAGTTTGAGATCTATAAAATATATAAGTCGAGTGTTTTAGACATTATGATTGCCAAAGTGCGTATGTGCATGCACTTTTCTTCTCTTGACCGTGTGAAGTAGGTAAGAAAATTGGAACTCAAGTCAAGTCCAATTGACCAAGTCAATCCATATAAATCTTTAGACAAAGATATAGCTATCTATAATCATCACTAAAAAGTAATATATATTATCAATATATATATGTTTATTAGTATGATTTTTTTATTATGATAGTTGGCATCAACGAAACTTAAGAAAGCAACCATGATACAGTTACGGACTTCTTCTCAAGGTCATCCGTAATGGTGTGATGAGACTCTAGGCATTGCTGATTTGGAAAAGATCCATGACGTGGGACAAAAGGAAACACAGCAACGTAAACCCACTCAATGGTTCCCTAACTAATAGAGACTTAGTGAAGATCATGTCTTTCTACTTTTGAGGAACATGAATGCCGCTTTTCCCATTTCCGTGGTGGTAATCATGAGGATTCCATTGATTCCAAAAGAAAAGCAGACTTTATTTGCTAAAAGAAACTTGTGTTTGTGTTGTGTATTTACACATTTTCTTAGCTTTGATTATGTATCTAAATCCTTAGTCAAAAATATACATCTATCTAACTACCACTACATACATGTTAAGAAAATGTATCTACACTAGTATTTTTGCAACACTTTGGTGAAGGGTGGGTAAAAATGCTTCCGGGTATATCGGATACCCGACCCGTTTTTAAAATTCCTTCACAAAAAATTTGTTGGGTCGAGTTATATTTAACCCAACTCATACACCGGATATTCCATATTTAATAATTTAGATATTTAGAAGATTTGATTAAGATTTATAATTATGATTCTCCTATCATTTTTTTTTTTATTTATTTTTAACTGTTTTGAATCATAATATAATACATAAAGTAAAAAAAAAAAAATCAATTTTTTTTTCTGCATATACTGTGATTCGAAATTTAAAAAACGGACATATATTATCCAATTGACGAAAATGTGTGTTCAACGTTCTACATCGATTAAAATATTTAGACAATGATTCAGAATCATATCATAAATAAGAATATTAATAAAATAAATGAGTTTTTTGACGGGACGGGTTTGGCGGGATGGGTTTTTGAATCAACAATAATAAAAAAAATTAAAATATCATTAATCCGCCGTTTCAATACGGATTAAATCCTTTTTTTAATACCACAAATATTAGACACATTAAATCAGTCTCATTTAGAAAAGATTGTATAAAACCAAAAATTGTCCCGTGGGATAATGTTACTTAATAACAATATTTATAAAATTTTAAAATATCATTAACATGCCGCTTTAATACATATTAAATCTTTAGTTTATTAAAATATAAATGTCTTAGAGAATGATATGATTTGTAAACTTTTATATATAATAAGTAATCATTAAATTTTAAAATAAAAACAAATCACGGGACGGGTTAAGAAATTATGGAACGGGTTATATTTCGGAAGAGATTTATATGGCAGACGAATTTGAATCAATATTTATATACCGCTTTAATACGGGTTAAATCCTCAGTTTATTAATAATTGTCTTGTGGACTCGTGGTATACGTTACTTAATAACAATTATAAACTATAATATAAATAAATATGTTATAAGGAGATACAATTTACAAAATATTTTTATACTAACTTTCAAATGAAATCATCCCGCGGTGTACCGCGGGTTAAAATCTAGTTATGTATTATTAATATATATTTTGGAGAAAGTATATTATCATAGCTGGCATCAAAGAAACTTAAGAAAGCAACCATGGTACGGTATGGACTTCTTCTCAAGTTTCATCCGTAATGAAAACTTTGAATATGTAAACGTATTAATAAATATAATTTCAGCCGTAGACCGTAGTGAAAATCTTTGAATATAATTCTACATCAATACAAACTTGACACGTTATTTGTCTACAGGCAAACCTCAGGCAACAAACTATATAGATATATGGAGGATAAGTAAATGTAGCGATTTTGGTTAAGATATGGAGACTTGGATAATAATAGTCATAGCTATTGCTTCTTGTGTTGGTGTTTTGATGTTTCTTGTGGCCTTGACGGGAAGCAGAGTCAACAATGTGAGTGGTGATAACGGTGGAGAAGGAGGTGATCAGGGTGTCGGAGAAAATGATGTTGGTGGCAGAGATGTGGGAATTCGTGGTTTTGGGGATCATGGAGGGTTTTGGAATGGCAGAGATCTGGGAATCCGTGGTTTTGGGAGTCATAGAGGGTTTTGGAGTTATGGTGGCCGAAGTGGCAGCTGCTGGTTTACTGGTGGTGGAGGTTTTGGCGGCAGCGCTTGCGGTGGTCTTGGAGGTGGAAGTGGAGGTGGAGGTGGAGGAAGTTGTTGAGCTTTCAGTGTTTCATATCATATTTAGACACCTCGTCCGTGAAGTAAATCATCGCACCTATGGTCCAACCAATTGGGAGAAAGTTATAAAGTTCGTAAAATATGTAGTGTTTTTTTCTATACTTTTGATAAGCACATATAATTTTAGTAGACTATATTAAACTTGTTTTTGTGATAATAATGTATTAGCTTTGTAAATTATTGTATTTTTTTTTTTGACATCTTTGGATCGACAAGGCCCGATCCATAGCCAATCCCTACTACGCGGGGTAACGTGATTTAGTAGAGTCACTACAAAAAAAATCCACATTGATAGCACTAGACGATAGCGCATTTTCATGAACTGCTATAATAGATGAGTTCGTGATTTTGGTTACTTTTTAATAGCACCTGATAAATGCTAAGACCGAAAATCCTTAAGCGGAAAACAAAAATGACCTATTCCGCCAACACTTAGCAAAAATTATTCACTTAAGCGCCTATTGTCTTTTACTTTCCCTCTTTTGTCGCGAAACTTAACCAGTTAAGTCTACTGAGTTTACCTCTCAGATCTAAGAGTTCTATCGAATCCCAGTGAGTTCTGTCAAAAACAAAATCGATTCCAAACCTAGCCAAAACCACTGACCTTGTCGTTGGCCATAAAATCGTGCTCCTCCGCAGACACATTCTTCAGCGCCGCCGCCAGTGAGCTCAAATCGATTAATCCTTTATTCACTCTCACATATGGATTCTCCTCATCGTCTTCTCAGTCGTGCATCTCTCCTCCTTCGTTGACACTTGCAACTCCAGCTCTTCATTTCACCTTCACATCTTCTTCTTCTTTATATCTCTCATCTCACTTTCCTTCCTCTCAATCTTCTACTTCGTCTTTTCCTTTTCTCGCTTCCTTTGTGTCTTTCTATCTCTCTCTCTCTCTCTCTCTCTAGCTTCCTCCGTCACTTTTACTTATCATTACCCTAATTTTGCAAGGCGTATCAATTGAAATTGAAAAGTTGGTCAAAAACTCTAATTATCCCCTTCGTTCTCAGTTCTTTCAATCTTCAATTTCATAAAACCCTAATTTTTAACCTGTTTGTTTTTGGGATATTGGATTTGTCTAGGTTTTGGAATTGGTTGGAAACGCAGCGAGGGATAACGAGAAGACTAGGTTGGTGCCACGTCACATTAATCTTGCGGTGTGGAACGATGATGAGCCGAGCAAGTTGCAAAGGTTTGATTTTAGCCTAATTTTGTTAAGAGGAAATTCAAACCTTTTTGGAGATCTGTGTTCTACCTCATGGAGAAGGTATTGTAATAAATCTTAGGGGTTCTGTTTTTAGAGTTCTTTGTGCACACAAGGTGTTCGACGATTTGACTGTGAGACGGAAACCAAGAATATTAAAGTAACTGACAATGTCAACGAGAATGTTAAAGTAACTAACTTGGATTTGGTTCAATATTCGCTAAGGAAGAATGTTGGTGGCTGAGAGATGGCGATTCATTAGAGGAAAAGCCAGGTTCGTGCATTTAGTCATTTTGATTGTTTCGTGATTTGTTGGGGTCGGATTCCATCCTTTGGCGCCGAGCCAGACTTAGAACACCTCGGGAGTTTTACAGAGATCACCTCGGGATATCACATCATCCACCTCGGGTTATCCACCTAATCGATTTAGGAGACCCGAGCCCATCGCCTCGGGGATACCTGAAAAAGACGTCTCAAGCACCCGAGCCCAATTACCTCGGGGGTACCCGAGCCAGTTACTTCGGGGGTACCCGAGCCCAGTCGTCTCGGAAGTACTTGAGCCCAGTCGTCTCGGAACGCCCGAGCCCAATCGCCTCGGAGCGCCCGAGCCCGTCGCCTCAGGGTACTCAAACAAGCCATCCTAGAGTGCCCGAGCCAGTCCTTCCTGTGTACCCGAGCCGGTTGCACAAGTTCTCCGAGGCGAAGTCTTCATCATCACCCGAGGCAAAGACTTGGTAAATATTCACCTTCAAAGTATCATTTCCAAGTAAGGTGTCATTTCCGAAGGATCATTTCCGATAGACCCGGAAATGATAGGGGAGAATCTCGAAAGATCAACTCAAATCAGGAAACCCCCGAAAAATAAGGAAACTATCCTAATCCGCGATATTCTGAGCCGACTTCAAGATAAATGGAAATCTTCCGAGAATATCGCTGGAGAGGCGGTTTATCACCTATATATAAAGAGACTCAAGGCTCAAGCAAAGTACAAGCAATATCGCTCTAGAAATTACATTACGCAAAGCTCTCACAGCAAAAAACATCTTTTTCCTTTACGATCAAACTCTTGTACGATCAAAGTCATCTTTTTCTTAATAATATCAAGAACACCATCTTTGGTTACAATCGTTTCTGCTGTTCTTTGAGAATTAACGTTTATCGTATCCCTAAAATAAAACCCTAGACAAATCTCGATTGTGTTAGTTTCGACTTCCACAGTTTGGCGCCGTCTGTGGGGATACATTAGAATTCTCTTACCCTAAGACGCAGAACTCGATTACCGAAAATGACGACGAACGAAGACGGTCGTCAGACACCACCAGCCGGAGGAGGGATCCCGAACCCTCCAAACCCTCAGAATCCTCAAGCCGATCCGACGATCGTAGCGACTCTAGCCGAACTGAAAGACCTGATGGTTAAATTCCAGAAGAAAGCTGACGATCAAGAGAAAGCTAACAAAACCTTGGCGCAGCGAGTCGACGAAATCGCAACACGTGGGCAACAAAAAACCACGCGTTTCCAGACTCGGCCGCCACGAGCTCGGAGGGACTTACCTGGCATCAACCCAACAAGACTCACGTTCGCGACACCAACCGGCAACACCAGAGTCGCAACCCGAGCCGACCCTGCCAGACGCGAGAACCAAGATGATCCCACCGAGCCAGACACAGTGGACTTGACGGACGAGCCAGATGATCTGCAAGATGAGCGTACCCGAGCCGGAGCTAACTCCGCCGAGCGAACGGACCTTACTGATGACGAAGAAACTGAGGAAAACATAAGGTGGGCCGAAGAATCCGAAAGAGAAGACGAGCTAAGCAAGATCCGAGCCTCCCTAGCCAAGGCGGAAGCTGATATGAAGCTCGTCAAAACCTAGATACACAGCGTTTCATCCTCCGCACCGAACATCGACCGAATTTTGGAAGAATCTCGGAATACGCCTTTCACCAAAAGAATTTCCGAAACGACGATGTCCAATCTGGGAAAGTTTAAAATCGACTCTTACAACGGATCAACCGACCCGAAGTGCCACATTAAATCGTTCGTGATATCTGTGGCCCGAGCCAGGTTCAAGCCCGGGGAAAAAGACGCAGGTCTGTGCTTACTGTTCGTGGAACACCTCAAAGGACCCACATTAGAGTGGTTTTCAAGATTGGAACGAAACTCGATTGATAGTTTCGACGAGCTGTCGACATTGTTCCCCAAACAATACTCCGTGCTCATCGACCCCGGAACTTCCGACGCGGATCTGTGGTCCTTGTCTCAACAGCCCACCGAGCTATTAAGAGATTTCCTCAAGACCTTCAAATCGACGCTAGCCAAGGTCGAAGGAATTACAGATGTAGCAGCTCTCTCGGCTTTAAAGAAAGCTCTCTGGTACAAGTCAGAATTCAGGAAAGAGTTGAATCTGTCTAAACCGACAACAATTCGCGACGCGCTGCATCGAGCCTCGGATTTCGTCGCCCACGAAGAAGAGATGGCGCTGCTAGCAAAGAGGCATGAGCCAACGAAACAGGCGCCCCGAGCCGAGAAAACCGAGAAAGCCCAAGCAACACCTCCGGTCCAGAAGAAGACACGTGAGAGCGGTACGTATACGCATCACGAAGGGCACAATTTCTCGGGATACCATAGCTACCAGATTGACACGCCCCGAGGCCGTGGGCGAGGAAGAGAGTCCTTCACTTGGACAAGGGATCAGCCACCGAGCAATGATCAAGAATATTGCGAACACCACAAAATTTTTGGCCACCATACCTCGAGATGCCGAAGCCTCGGAGCCAAGTTAGCAACCAAATTCCTAGCTGGAGAGCTCGGGACGAATGTCACTCTTAAGGATCTCGAGCCGGAGCTAGAGCCCGAGCAGACCAACCCGGGAAGAGACCCCGAACCAAGAAACCAGGAGTCTCAGAAAAGAACCCGGGGGTCGGAAGACGAAGACCGAGATGGTACGCGGCAGAGGGTTCTCACCATAATGGGTGGATCGCCATACTGTCCTGACACCGTAGCGGCAATCAAAGCTTATCAACGCCGAGCCGAGACGCCTAGCAACTGGACAAGACGCTTCGATCGACCTAACGACGTCATCACATTTGAAGAAAGCGAGACGAACGGGCTCGACATGCCTCATAACGATCCAATCGTCGTCACATTAGCCATAGGAGACCATGATATCTACCGAGTATTAATTGACACCGGCAGCACTATCGACGTAATCTTTCGCGAAACGCTCCGACAAATGAACATCGACATGTCACAGGTGATTCCGACCCCGAGGCCTGTCCTCGGATTTTCAGGGGAAACTTTGATGACGCTTGGAACCATCCAACTACCAGTCCGAGCCGGCGGGGTAACAAAGATAGTCAACTTCTCAGTCACCGATCGACCTACCATCTACAACACCATAATGGGAACTCCGTGGTTAAATCTAATGCGAGCTGTCGCATCAACATATCATCTGTGTGTCAAATTCCCGACCCCCAATGGCGTGAAAACGATCTGGGGCAGTCAGAAAAATTCTCGGATGTGTTTCATGGCAGCACACAAACTCCGAAACCCTGTCACTGAAGCGAAGGCAAAAACAGATCGCAAGAAATCAAAACTTGGCCGGAGTGAAGAGAAGGCTATATCTAAACAGTTATAGTAATTACAGATCGAGGAGGCGCGCGAGGAGAAGAAGCCTACCTCGGATCCTGTAATCTCCATTAGCCTCGACGACGAACGGCCTGAACGATGCGTGGAAATTGGCAGCGATTTAACCGAGGAAATCAAGACCGAGCTCATCTCATTCCTCAAAGAGAACATCAACACCTTCGCCTGGTCGGCTGAAGATCTACCTGGGGTAAGCATCGACGTAATCTGCCATGAGCTGAATGTTGACCCATCTTTCAAACCCATCAAGCAGAAGCGAAGAAAATTGGGTCGGGATCGATCTCCGAAGAAAATTAGGTCGGGATCGATCGCCGAAGTAGAAAAGCTCTTAAAGATCGGCTCGATCTCCGAAGCAAGATACCCGGACTGGTTAGCAAATCCTGTCGTGGTTAAAAAGAAGAACGGCAAGTGGAGAGTCTGCGTCGATTTCACCGATTTGAACAAAGCTTGCCCTAAAGACAGTTTTCCACTCCCACATATCGATCGCTTAGTGGAAGCAACCGCGGGAAATAAGTTGCTATCGTTCATGGATGCTTTCGCAGGATACAATCAGATTCTCATGCATCCCGACGATCGCGAGAAGACAGCTTTCATCACAGACCGAGGTATCTACTGTTACAAAGTCATGCCCTTCGGACTCAAAAACGCCGGCGCAACGTATCAACGGCTCGTCAACAGGATGTTCTCCGAGCAGCTCGGGAAGACGATGGAAGTTTATATCGACGACATGTTAGTCAAGTCCCTTGAAGAGAGCGATCACATAGCCCATCTACGCGACTGTTTTCGTCAGCTCAACAAGCACAACATGAAGCTCAACCCGGCAAAATGTCGTTTCGCGGTAAAGTCGGGAGAATTCTTGGGATATCTCGTAACTCACCGAGGCATCGAGGCAAACCTGAAGCAAATCGAATCTCTACTGAACATGCCCTCACCACAGAACAAGCGCGAAGTCCAACGTCTCACCGGGAGAGTCGCGGCCTTGAACCGATTCATCTCGCGGTCCACTGACAAATGCCTGGCTTTCTACGATACTCTGCGCGGAAACAAGAAATTCGAATGGACCGATCGCTGCAAAGAAGCTTTCCAGGAACTGAAGAAGTATTTGGCTAATCCACCGGTGTTGGCGAAACCAGTCCCAGGCGAGCCATTATTTCTGTACATCGCAGTCTCTGATACGGCGATAAGTGGAGTCATAGTCAAGGAAGACAGAGGAGAGCAGAAGCCGATATTTTATGTCTCGCAAACCTTCACCGACGCAGAGACACGCTACCCGCAAACTGAAAAGCTCGCCCTCGCTGTAGTAATGTCAGCTCGGAAGCTACGGCCATATTTCCAGTCTCACTCAATTGTCGTCATGGCGCCCGTATCACTCCGAACCATCCTGTATAGTCCGAGCCAATCGGGACGCCTGGCCAAATGGGCAGTAGAACTCAGCGAGTACGACATCGAATACAGGAACAAAATATGTGCGAAATCTCAAGTCCTGGCCGATTTTATCATCGAGATGCCTTAGCAGCTCTAGCTTCAACCTCCGACCCGAATCTAAAGAGAATCATACCGGTCGAGTTCATCGAAAAGCCGAGCATTGAAGAAAATAGCAAGGATCAAGTTCTAACAGCTCGGGAGACAGAAGAACCGGAAGAAATGGACATCGAACTACTAAACCAGCAAACTATGGACGTAACTGAGCCCGAATACGGAAGCGACGCCAAATGGATCGGAGCCATCCGAAGCTACATAGCCGATTGAGAAGTTCCTACTGAAAAATGGGCAGCTCGGAAGCTTAAAGCCAAAGCGGCTCGGTATACTCTGATCGATGGAGAACTCTTAAAATGGCGATTTTCCGGTCCCCTCCTTATCTGTGTCGAAGGAAATGAGGCTCGGAGAGTCATGGAAGAAGTACACGGCGGATCTTGTGGGAACCATTCTGGCAGGAGAGCCCTGGCTATAAAGATCAAACGCCACGGATATTTTTGGCCCACAATGGTCAAAGACTGCGAGAAGTTTTCTCAACGGTGTGATAAATGCCAGAGACACGCGCCAACCATTCATCAACCCGCCGAGCTCCTCTCTTCCATCACTTCGCCTTATCCATTCATGCGATGGTCCATGGACATCATCGGACCTCTACACGACTCCAAGCAGAAGAAACTCGTCCTCGTACTGACAGACTACTTCTCCAAATGGATCGAGGCGGACTCCTACGCCAGCATCAAAGACGCGCAGGTCGAGAACTTCGTCTGGAAGAACATCATATGCCACCACGGGATACCTTACGAGATCGTTACAGACAACGGATCGCAGTTTATTTCGGCTCGGTTCGAAGGATTCTGCGAGAAATGGGGAATTCGCCTCAGCAAGTCTACGCCTCAGTATCCTCAAGGGAACGGATAAGCCGAAGCGGCAAACAAGACAATTCTCGACGGAATAAAAAAGCGCCTCGACGCGAAGAAAGGCCGCTGGGCCGATGAATTAGAAGGAGTACTATGGTCGCACAGAACCACGCCGCGGCGGGCCACGGGAGAAACACCTTTCGCCCTTGTCTATGGCACGGAGTGTGTGATTCCCACCGAAGCCGAGATCCTAGGACTGAGAAGACGTTTTCTCCCCGAGCAGGAAAATTCCAACACTCAGATGATGTTGGACGAGCTGGACTTAATTGACGAAAGAAGAGATTCGGCTTTGATCCGTATGCAGAACTATCAGAATGCAACGGCTCGGTACTACAATTCTCACGTGAAGCATCGCCGCTTCCACGAAGGAGAGCTCGTACTGCGCAAAGTTTTCCAGAATACCGCCGAGCAGAACGCAGGTAAGCTCGGCACGAATTGGGAGGGACCTTATACGATCGCAAAGGTAATCCGTCCCGGCGTCTACGAACTCATCAATATGAACGGCAAAGCGGTACCTAGATCCTGGAACGCAATGCATCTAAGGAAATATTACCGCTAAAAACCTAAGGTACGCATGTACTCGAACTACGGGGTGGCTTGATCCCTGAAAAGGGTACGTAGGCAGCTCGTCTTCGGACGAGTTCAGCTACCCCCCCTAATTAAAAAAGGGGGGAGTGGGTCCGTATACATATACTCCCGCTAAATTTTTTAAATTCTCTAAGTTTTTACCCTACGGATTTTCAAATTTATCCACCTCGACATCTATCCCAAAACTCATCTCAGGAACCTTTATGGTCTCCTTATCGACCCACAAAGCCAACAGTTCGTTCGGACGATGGCCACGTCCACGAACAGAGAGCTAATTACACCGCCTCGGTTACAGCGCGCTATATAAGCATTCGAGACGATTCGGTTTGAGATATCTTGCCATAAAGAAATTGTCTTCAGAAAACCCAGTTGACTTCGACACTGGTACCCCAGTTCGCTTCTAAGCACTGGCTTCGACTATATCAGTTCGGGTCGCGACCGATAAAGATTAGTCCCACGTAGCCAAAACCCAGTTATCCTAACACTGGTGCACGATTCACTACACTTTCGGCTGGAAAGTTAAAAATCGTTTGGATTTAACTTCTCAACGAGCAAATCATAAACCCGGTTAACTTAACACTGGTGCACGATTCTTTTCGCTTTTGGCTCGGAAGATAAATCTAGCTATTTGACGTTAGTATTGGATTCAGTTCGGAAAAGTTTTAAGATAAAAATTACTTAACATAGCATTCAGTGGATAAAGCCGTCCAGGCATGTCTTACAAAAAGGGCAAAAGAGAGAATAAAAAGACATCTCGGGATCAGATCGAGTCTTGGTTAACCGGTGAAACTTGAGCTACCTCGGTACCTCGGTTCGAACCCAACTGGTCGGCAACACCTATCGCAGGCGCGGCACCCTCGATCGAACGGTTCCCGAAGCTATCGTCGACAAAGTCCGGGGAAACTGGAGGAAGCTTCAAGTCCTCTCGCAGCTCGGTTCCGAGACGGACGTACTCATCCTCGGCGTCCCCATACTCAGTCGTCCATTGAAGGACCTCGGCCTTCTCATCTTCTACCTTTTTCCCTTCCTCCAGCTCAGCTATCAGCTCGGCATTGGCCCGCGCTTGCACCAAGTACATGTAGCGCGTGGATACCTTCCCGAACTGGTCCATCTTCGCCTCGATAGCCTTGACCTTCTCGGCAAACTCCCTTTTGGCTGCTCTCCGTTCTCTAACAATCTCCTTTTCCCGGAGAGCCTTCTCTTCAGTAAATAACCGATGGAGTCCTGCAACCTCGGCCTCAAGCTTTCTCTGAGTCCGCAGGCTATCCTCAGAAGTTTTCAATCGCTCCACCTTCTCGGCCTTGGCCAACGCCTCAGCTTCTTGTTTAGCCGCGATCGCCTCGGACAACCTAGCTTCGACCTCAGCTCGGGATGTCTCCGATCTCTCACGGGCCATCTCGGACTTCCGAGCTCCAAAATCATAGGCCCGAACCATGGAATTCATCGAATGGAAGGCCTGAAATAGAACGAGAATCATTAGCAAGCAAATATGGAAACGATAGTAAAATACGTCAGGAACAGATCGATGATACCTTCAGGAATCCAGCAGCGGTTTCACGGTAGTTTTGAGCCTCCAACAAGGCATCGGGAGCAGACAGTGGCGGACCCGAGCAAGAAGCGACAAAATTCGCCAAAGCGATCTTGTCCTTGTACACTGGAGTTTCGCTACGACTCCTTTTCTCCTTCCTAGAAACTCCCGAGCCATCACCTCGGGGTCTTTTTCCCCTAGTTTTGGATTTCGCCTCGGCGGCTAGAGCAGCAATGACCAGAGCCCCTACCACCTCGGGGACATCGGTCGTAGGGGAGATATGCCCGGCCACCTCGGGAACGATCAAAACCATATCCCGAGCTTCATCAGTTGCCTCGGCACCAACAACGACCTCAGGGTTGGCCTCGGGAGGAGTAGGAGGTCTGAAGTTTGCCTCCAAAACAGCTTTTTCCTTAGCCGCCTTCTTTTCAGCAGCTTTCCTGGCTCTCAGAGACTGCGCAGCGCCCTGCATCTCGATAAGATGATCTAGGCGATGATCGGACGATTCGGAAGAAGACTGGCAGGGAGCTCCGTGCAGCAAACGCAAGGCTCTCTCAATTCTTTCCTGGGAGAAGTGTTTTGTCCAATCGCACTTCCGAGCAATTAGTTCGTCGTGGAGATCTAGAAAACCTTCGGGAACGTCTTCGAGAAACAACGGGTTCCGATCTGCATGAACAAGAAAAACGGTCAGAAAAAAAAGGTTAAAGCAAAACGAAACAGCAAATACGGCTTCGGGCGTAGTACCGATTTGTCTCCACTTTCCAACAATTTTCCCTAAGTAGTCCTCGTGGACACTATACTCATTCAAGGCTACGTAGAAGAAGTTATCGGTGTACTTCTCATCCTTGCTCGGGAAACCACCGATAACCCTCCTATTTGGCCTCGGAGATATGTAGAATCTCTCGACGGGGCCTGGTATGCGCCGGATCTCCAGGAGATTCCTCAAGTGGCTAAGGCCGACAATATTGATAGTCTCAATACTTCGGACTAGAATCCCCACTAGATGCCGCAGGCCTCGGGTCGTTATCTGGGATAGAGCAATCTTGTACGACCACAGAAACGCCAAAATCGGCCTCGGGATTGGAAGGCAAAGATAGCAATGGTAGAAGAACCCCTCATAAAGGGTGAAAAACCCCTCGGGCGGATCGTCTGCTCGCTCATTCGGAGTTGGAAGTCTTAGTTCAATCCCCTCGCTAAAACCGAACCGGGCCTTGAGATCCCGAAGGGAGTCCTCCGTGCATAAGGTGGAACCCGGGGATCAGGTTTCCTAGCTTTCTTGGCTCATTTTCTCTTCTGTTGACCCTTGGCTGCTCGGACTTTAGCTTGAAGCAACCTGGCCGCCTCGTCAGAGTCATAATGAACCTCCTCGGCCTTAATAGGAAGAAGAGACGCCTCGGGGGCATTTTGCCAGCGTGAGACTCCAGCTTCACCAACTGCCGGTGGATGTATCCCCCTCCTATTCAAAATCGCCTCGGGATCGTCAGGCAAATCCTGATCCCGAGCCACATTTGCAATCGCGTCTTCTCGAGCGATGAAACGGCTCGGGTCTTCTTCCCGTGAAGCCGACTCTGCATCACTACCACGGTACAACACGATCTGATGGTCCGTGGTATCCGCCTAGGGGTCGCTCGAAGAACTCCAGACCATCTTTCTCTTGTAGACAGGGAGATGAGTGTCACCTCGGGGCGAATCACTGGAATCAGAGAGAGACATTTTCTGGCTCGGGAGATTGAAGAAGTTGATCGGAGGAACAAAGCTTGACAGATCGGAGAAATCAACCTAGGTCTAATGACGGTGGCGCTACGACGGAAGTATAACGGAAAAAGTAGAAAATGCAAGAACTCAAGATCAGAGAGAAGAGAACGAACCTTGAAAATTTTCCTTTGCAATTGCGAAATGAAAAAAATAAGTCGGAGGCTTAACATTTATAGAGATTTAGGGCGCGTCGGGTACGAACGAGCCAAATAAAACACATCGTATCCGCGTTTAAGGCGCGTCGGGTACGCACGAATTGAGTAGGATACTTCGCATCCGCATGAATCTCGGGAATCAGCGAAAAGACCTTTCCACTTCTCGAGAAGGAATCCCAACCGTCACACGCCAAGAGAAGATGAAACGACAGGAATTCGAATCGCCAAAAACTTTAGAGCGACCGAACTGTCCAAAGTAAACGGCTCGGCCTAATTGTCATAGAGCTCGTCACGCTTGGTTCCCCAAACTAACAAGCTGGGGGGCTAACTGTTGGGGTCGGATTCCATCCTTTGGCGCCGAGCCAGACTTAGAACACCTCGGGAGTTTTACAGAGATCACCTCGGGATATCACATCATCCACCTCGGGTTATCCACCTAATCGATTTAGGAGACCCTAGCCCATCGCCTCGGGGATACCTGAACAAGACGTCTCAAGCACCCGAGCCCAATTGCCTCGGGGGTACCCGAGCCAGTTGCTTCGGGGGTACCCGAGCCCAGTCGTCTCGGAAGTACTTGAGCCCAGTCGTCTCGGAACGCCCGAGCCCAATCGCCTCGGAGCGCCCAAGCCCGTCGCCTCGGGGTACTCAAACAAGCCATCCTAGAGTGCCCGAGCCAGTCCTTCCTGTGTACCCGAGCCGGTTGCACAAGTTCTCCGAGGCGAAGTCTTCATCATCACCCGAGGCAAAGACTTGGTAAATATTCACCTTCAAAGTATCATTTCCAAGTAAGGTGTCATTTCCGATAGACCCGGAAATGATAGGGGAGAATCTCGAAAGATCAACTCAAATCAGGAAACCCCCGAAAAATAAGGAAACTATCCTAATCCGCGATATTCTGAGCCGACTTCAAGATAAATGGAAATCTTCCGAGAATATCGCTGGAGAGGCGGTTTATCACCTATATATAAAGAGACTCAAGGCTCAAGCAAAGGACAAGCAATATCGCTTTAGAAATTACACTACGCAAAGCTCTCACAGCAAAAAACATCTTTTTCCTTTACGATCAAACTCTTGTACGATCAAAGTCATCTTTTTCTTAATAATATCAAGAACACCATCTTTGATTACAATCGTTTCTGCTGTTCTTTGAGAATTCACGTTTATCGTATCCCTAAAATAAAACCCTAGACAAATCTCGATTGTGTTAGTTTCGACTTCCACATGATTTGTCTTTCTTAGTGTGACAATCTCTTTAAGACTCTATGACAATCTCTTTAAGACTCTATAGCTAAATAGCAAAATAAAAGTGGTACGATATAATATAGAAAAATAGCGAAGTAAAAGTGTTATAAAAAATATAAAGTAGCACTAAACATGTGCTTTAAGAAAGTATATTAAAGCATGTGATTAATGCTATAATAGAAAGACATATCATAACATAGGAAATAACGCTATCGTATGTGGGGGTCTACCATAACAGGGGCATAACATAGCGTTTATGAAAACGCTATTGATGACATATAATAGCTCTTCTCTCTTGCTAACAATGTAGATATTTCTTGTAGTGAGTAGAACTCCGGTGGGGAAGACGGAGTCAAGTGGACTTAACCATTTGACTAAAGGCACATCCCCTTTGTAAATTATTGTATATATGTAAGCTTTTTCACAAAAATAAAAAAAATATTGTATGTAATATACGGCTAAAATAAAATTCAAATACGGCTAAATCACAACACTTCTAGTTCTACCCCATGTTTAAAAAATCGCTAGGCGCTAGTCAGACGCTCGAGCTGGGTCTAGCGCCTAGCCAAAAATTCGGAGATTAAACGGGATTAATCGGGATTAGTTTTTTTATATTTTTATTTTATATATTGTATATATATTATTGTTGTGTAACTAAGTCAATAATGCAAGTTGGTCTGGTGGTTATTAGCGAGTTTTGTCACATCTGGGTGACAAGTTTGAGCAACCCCAATTTCATTTATGTCCATTTTATTCATTTTAGGTTTAATTAATATTAAATTACCAAAATACCCTTGTCTTCTACCTCTTGAAAATCAGATCTGTAACCCTAAATCCGCTGTCACTTGATTTTTTTCTCACTTTTCATCATTTTTTTTGTTTTCTTCTATTGTTTGTTGCTATATATGCTAGATCCATCAAATATCTATGATTTTCAACTTTCAAAAGAACAAAAAATCAAGTTTTTTCAAGATTTTCGATTTTTGATCCGATTTTACCCTAATCCCGGCGGTCCCTTGCCGCCGAATGACTAGCCATCGCGTAATCGGCCGCCTTGGCCGCGTTTTTGAACAAGGGATCTACCTTTAAAAGCCCGATGGGTCAGTTCTGGGAAAATCCGAAGCTAGCAAATCCAAAAAGCAGGCCCGGCCCAAAGGCCAAGTAACTGAAGCCAGCGATTGGGGTCTCAAAATTTTATGGCCTTTTAAACTAAAAGTTTGTTAAGTTTTGGATATGATGCAAAAAATATAAATTTATTCTGTAGGACCTTTTAAAAAAAGTAATATGGGCTTTTAAAGACAAACTAATTACACAATATCTTCAACACTAAATTTTTGATCTAATAAAAAAAAATGACGCTACATGATACCTCTTATGCGTATATGTGAGTCAATTTGCTTATTTTACAAGTGAAAAATCATAGTTTTTGAGGTTAATTGTTAATTTTGCTTTTGAATTTATTGTTTTTTCTTTGCAAATTTGTTTTAAAAAAAGCTGCAAATCCGATAATGATTCGTTAATGGTTTTTTTATAGTATATGAAAAATGATTCGTCAGACCGGCACTGCCAAAAAGGGTTGGTACTACTAACTACTAAGTGAAGAAGGCTTAAGGAAAAAAGAAGAAAAAATTATAAAGGAAATGACGTACTAAACTATTCAATACTTTTGAAGAAAACTTTCTCTTTGTGGAAAATGAAGAAATGTTGGATGAGAACTCTAAAAGGAAAAAGCTAAGATCATTTGCATTTAACTTGTTGAGGAGTGATGAGGGAGGAACCTCCAAACCCAAATCTCTCAAACACGAACATCATCGCAATCAAGATTTCTATAAGCATATCAACTCTAACGAAACTGCAATCTAAGTTATGATTTGATTTTCCTAAAAAAAAAACAAACAAACGAACATAGACTGTAACGGTGCCATTCGGATTTGTAATGGAATATTAAACATATATATATCTTCAAACACATCTTTTCATCATGTATATAAATATCAAAATCAATAACAAAACAAATATATTTTTTTCAAAAATAACGTAATTACCAATGTAACACCTAATAATTTTAAACTATATATACATCATCAAACCGTCGTGTTTATCATGCATGTTTGAGTTTTAGTGAAAGAAAAATGATTATCAGTTATACACGAAGTATAACCTATCACATATGGTTACATATCTACACTATATACAAACAAACATAAGCTATGTGACCTACACAATTATTATAACCACTATTTATTATCTCTTGATTTGATCCAATATTTTATTTTCTAGCATTGCTACCAAAATCAATCCAGAAAACGAAACCTACAAAGAAAATATAAAAATCCAACAAATCCAATTGCTTATTGAAAGATGTTGAAAGTCTCCGATGAGGAGAGCGTCCTGCTCACAATATATAGCCAAAGTTGTTACAATATGAGTTGAGATTTTCCTAGATACAGGGGGAATATTCAAATTATCTCAACCTAACTTTTGAGAATATTTTATCTCCTAATACCCTCCCGCAGTCTTATCGTCGGTCTTGAGATGACGCCAAGACTGGGTTTGAACTGATTGAATAATGAAGATGTAAGTCCCTTGGTGAAGATATCGGCATATTGGTGAGACGCCGAGATGTGAAATACTCTAACCGAAATATCGGCATATTGCATCAGTGTTGTGGAGTGTATGTAATTTTTGGTTGGCTGCGTATAGACTACCAAACGAGTGCATTCAAGACATAGAAAAAATGTGTTCAGCCTTTTTATGGTCGGGTAAGGATATGAATGCACATAGAGCAAAGATATCTTGGGAGAATGTTTGTAAACCGAAGCAGGAGGGTGGTCTAGGGCTGCGTTCACTCAAAGAAGCTAACAATGTTTGCTGTCTAAAGCTTATCTGGCGCATAGTATCTCAGGGCAACTCTTTATGGGTGAAGTGGATCCAAATGTACCTTCTTAAGAAAACTTCATTCTGGTCCATCAACAGCAGCACTAATATGGGTTCCTGGATTTGGAAAAAACTCCTAAAGTATAGAGAGGTAGCAAAGCAGTTCTGCAAGGTGGAAGTGGGAAACGAAGAACTTACATCTTTCTGGTATGATGATTGGTCTTCAATGGGGAGATTGGTAGATATTGTGGGTGCCCGAGGAGTCACTGATATGGGTATCAGTAGAACAAGCTCGCTAGCGGCTGCCTGGTCAAATCGAAGGAGAAGAAGACATCGGGCAGCCACACTCAACGCAATGGAAGATGCGTTACAAGAGCAGCGGGAAAAAAGGAAGGAACAAGGGGACACTGTTCTATGGAGAGGGAAAAATGATATCTTTAAACCGAAGTTCTCAGCTAAAGATACTTGGAATCATATCCGAATAACCTCTAGCACGGTCTCATGGCACCGGGGAGTTTGGTTTGCACACGCAATACCAAAATTCTCCTTTTGTGTGTGGTTAGCAGCTCAAAACAGGCTCTCTACTGGCGATCGTATGATCAAATGGCAAGGCGGAGCAGGAACATGTGTTCTTTTTCATAGATGTTTAGAAACCCGGAATCATCTCTTTTTTGGTTGTGATTTCAGCTCTACCATTTGGGCAGCCCTTGCAAAGGGGCTTCTCAAAACTCGATACACAACAGATTGGCTTCTTCTTCTTGACATTATATCTTCCAAACAGCTCAACCGAGTAGAGGGCTTCCTCTTTCGATATGTATTTCAAGCAGTTACCTATACCATATGGAGAGAAAGGAATGGGCGGCGACATGGAGAGAACCCACAAACAGCTGAACGCATCACGGGGTGGATTGACAAACATGTAAGGAATCAAATCTCAGCAGTCCGACTTATGGGAGACAGAAGGTATGACGACGCGTACCAACTCTGGCTTCAAGCTCGCAGCTAAGCTTCAACGGGAGGTCTAGATAGTCAAAATAGTTTCAAATTTTGCTTCAATTTTTGTTTCAACCAACCGATGCACAAGTTGTAAAACCGTACATTTTTTCTTTTGAATATAATTTAACATTGCATTCAAAAAAAAAAAAAGAAATACTCTAACCTCTCCTTTTGCAACTTTTTCACGGACAAAGTGTATGTCAATTTCTACGTGTTTCGTGGGTTGATGCTTGACTGGATTCATGGAAAGATACACAACACTTACGTTGTCGCAGAAAACCAAAGTGGCTTCAGATAGTGGACAGTGTAGTTCAAGTAGTAGATTCCGTAGCCAGCAAGTTTCTGCAACAGCATTGGCAACTGACGTTTTGAAGACCATGATATTAGAGTATCACCAAGAAACACGCAGTACCATGAAGTGGAACGTCTAGTGTTTGGACACCCTGCCCAATCGGCGTCTGAGTAGGCGACCAACTTGGTTGACGGTGACTTAGTAATATGTAGTCCCTGCTTCTTTGTTCCTTCAATGTACCTTAGGATGCGTCGCAGGGCATGAAAGTGACTTTCTCTTGGATCGTGCATAAACAAACAGACTTGTTGAACCGCATAACATATATCTGGTCTTGTAAATGTTAAGTACTGTAATGCCCCTGCCAAACTTCTGTAAAGCGTCGGATCGCTCACCTCTGGACCAGCTTCTTCTTCAAGCTTAGACTTGAGATCGACCGGTGTTGAGCACGGCTTACAGTCCTACATTCCTGCGCGAACCAAAATACTGAAGCCCATCTGCATTCTTACACATTCTATTTTAAAATACAATTTAACTATATTTTTCATCATAATAAATTGGATTTTAATTTTACACACTTCATCTTAATGGATAAGTTATAATAATTTACTAGATTTTAACCCACGGTAATATTTTTAAAAAATAAATAAATAATTGTTATTTGGTAATTTGAGTATTAGATTTTATAACCTATTTTTTTGTATATTTTAAATGTATAATCAATATCTATATATATAGATTATATAGTGTACAATTACTCTGTTTTAGATTTATTGTTTTAAAATATAAGAAATATAACATACTGTTGGAGATAAATAATGTGTGCTTTTTTCTTTTCTTTTCTTTTCTTGAATTTAGAAATAATATTTTGTTAATTATTTTGTAATTTAAGTAAAAGATTATTTGGCTTTATCATTTTGTTTGTTTCTAAAATAAATTATCAGCACTTTAGTATACAATGTTGTTGTGTTTTGCAATAAAAATAAAAGTGGTGACAATTATGATTTTGATATTAATTATAGTTAATAAGTTAATTTTATATAAACTTGATTATTAAAATTGTTAGAATTGGACAAAAATATTATTTTGCACTAAAAAAAAACATACTTATAGACATATATTTCCCAATTGTATTTTTGTCTCGAAGGGAAGTGAATATATAATTAAATAGATTGTTGATATATAGATTGTTAATTATATATAGATTGTTAATTATATAATTAAATATATAATTAAATTCGGCACCGACCTAGTTTATTCGAACCTAAGAAAACATTTCTCTCAGCTTCTTCGCGAAACTAGCTGTCTCAATTCACAAAATCGTTAATAGAAGAAGCTTCAGTTTGAATCGTTTTCTTCATCAGATCCAAAGAATCCATCATCAAATTACGGGCCATCGTCTGGTTGATCTGTAATCTACCTCTTTAATATCTCTCACATGAGAAGACTAAATTCTAAATTCTTTTCCTTTTCTCTTTTACTCGACGAATCCATCTCATAATTTTTTTCATTCTTGTAATTTTATTGTTAATAATTTATATTAAAATAATATGTATATTATATCAAATCTATATTCTACTTAATATTAAAAATAATTAACAAATAACAAAACAAAATTAATTAAAAATAGAAATCCACAAAAAAAAATTGGAAAACAAACATAGTTTAAAAAATTATTAGTTTTACTTTTTGGTTAAGAAACTTTTTAGATATAGACATATAAATTTGTATATGTATATATATATATATATATATATATTTTTTTTTTTTTTTTCTTTCTTAAAAAAAAGGTTAAATATTTTCTGACATATGTTAATATTTGATCGATAGAGTTGACATATGTCACGATCATGCGACTTACTAACTTTGAAAACAAAGTTTTATATAATAAAACAGACAAAAAATATATATAACCCTATTTACTAACTAAAAATATTGTCTATTTTTTCTAACAAAGCTTTGGGTACTATTTTCTTTCAAAATGGTAGAATTTAAAAATGAATTAATAAGACTATTATGATTAACTAAAATTTTATAGGGAAATTGTTAAAAATACCCCTTTTGGTGTGCTCATTTTCAAAAATGCCCCTTTTAGATGTTCATTTTAAAAAATGCCCCTTTTTAAATTTGAAATTTTTATAAAGTTTTATTAGGTTTATAAGGTACTTATGGATTGTAACTACTACTTGAAGACTCGATCCAAGTATTTATAAGGTTTTATAAGGTGTTTTTAAAGGTTTTACAAGTTATTTTAAAGGATTTTAAAGGTTTTTCAAAGGTTTTACAAGATATTTTAAAGGTATTTAAAATGCATTTATAAGATATTTATAAAGTATTTATAAGATTTTAGATACATAGAAATGTAGTTTGTGTATGTTTTAATAATATTACATACATATTTGGGTAAATCTTATATTTTTAAGAGCATTTTTTATAAGGTTTTAAAAATGATGTATTTTTGAAAAGTGGCATTGAACAAGTGGCACTTTTGCAAAAGCCCCAATTTTATATTTAGAATTTTGTACACATTTTCAGTATTTTCGTTTTTATAAATGTAATAAACTTTGAAAAAAAAACTTTACATTTTGATTAATTAATTTATTTTATATGTTTCTATATAAATATTATATCTAAAAAGTTTTCCATATTTTCATATGCTACTTTTTCCTTTTCTAAAAAATCTTAATATAGAAAATTAATAAAATCTAAAAATGCTAATTAATGAGGTGTCTTATCTCGATTGATCGTTTAAAATCCCACGTGGACAGCCTGAGAAGATCCTCGACTTGTATATAGTATAGATTTGTTTTAAAAATAAATAACCCTAGTAGTATATATATATAAACTCCTATACGCTATCGTCCTCGAGCGATCAGATCCGAAACAATAAAAAAAAAACAATGAAGATCTCCCATCTTCCGTATGATTTGGAATCCGAAATACTCTCTAGGGTTCCGACCAAGTCTCTAGCAAAATTTCGAACTACTTGCAAACGATGGTACGCTTTATTCAGAGATCCAAACTTCATCAAGAAGAACTTTGGTAACGCACCAAGTAAGTTGATGTTACTCAGTAATTTTGGAGTTTATTCAGTTAGTGTCGATCACCATGGAATTCACAACAACGTTGATCCATCTATCGAGTTTTCTGGAAAACTTAGCAGTCTAAAGGACTCAGAAGATTTAAAAATATCTAAAATCTTCCACTGTGAGGGTTTAATATTATGCTCTACTAAGGGAAACACTAGCCTTGTGGTTTGGGACTCCAGTACCGGTGAAACCCGGCGGATCAGACCGAGAACTCGTTATCGGTATGATGATTACTATGCTTTAGGATACGTAAACAGCAAGTCTTCTGGCCATAGCTTCAAAATCTTGAGGTCTTGCTATTATGAAAACGACCAGAAACAAAGGGTTGCTGAGTTTGAGATCTATGAGTTAAGCTCTGACTCTTGGAGGGTTCTTGATTACTTCACTCGTGACTATGGTGTATTTTGCAGTGGCAGGTCTTTGAAAGGAAATACTTATTGGGTTGCTGGAGATAAAGAAAATGGCCTTTTCATGTTGTATTTTGATTTCACAACGGAGAGATTTGGGCGTTTTCCTCTTCCGTTTGAAAGTTTTAATCCTGAAGATACCGCGGCTCTATCAGTTGTTAGGGAAGAAAAACTCTCGGTGTTACATCAGAAGATTCTTGATTTTTCAAATGAGATGAAGATATGGTTGACCAATAAGATCGATGAAACCATAGAATTGTCGTGGAGCAACTTCGTCTTAACAGTGGATTATGATAAATTTAATTTACCCAGCGTGGTGAATGTGACAAGTTTCTTGTTGGACGAGGAGAATAAAGTGGCACTGTGTTCTGATATCGACATGGATGATGAATATAAGACCAGAGTCTACGTTGTTGGAGAGGATATATATAAACAAGTCTATAAAGACACTACAAAGGCATCTTATATCAATTGGCCACTTCTCATCAATTATGTTCCAAGTTTGGTGCACATTAAGAAAAATACACTCAAAAGGCAAAAGAAAAGGAAATCAAGGGAGGTTAGTTAAGTGAATTTTTTCTTAAGTTTTTCTTTCTTTCTTCTGGTTAGTCAATTATTCAATAAGTTGTTTCTTTTTATTGGTGATGTAATGATTTTTACTCAAATGCCATTGTTCTGCTTATAGCCACTTTCACATTTCTCTCTTGCCCTGTTCCTAAAGGTTTCACATTGTCTCTCCGAACAAAACATCTCAATAACTATATTATATGCTCATGTTGTTTCATGAGTAATACAGAACAACGATACATAGAAGACGAAATGGAAAAGATTAGTGACCAATGAGATATGGAGGATTTGTGTAACATCTAAATAAAAGCAGCCTTCTTTAAATCTATACACAGAATTATTTGGGCATAGTTTAGATATGATGCTAATATATAACAGAAAAACTGAAGTTACTACATAATGAATCTTATTTTAAAGACAGAAACAACGGAATCTTCTTTGGCAAAGTTAAAGTCTATTTGCAAAATCTTCTTATCACCCAAGAACAGAGCACACGCTCTAATCCTCTTTGCAACATCAATGATCATCCAAGACACAATAAACTTCACAACCATGTTAAAACTTTCATAACCATCTGTCTATTAACTCCATGAAAAGTTTATAATTTGGAGAATAGTTACATATATGAATGTCTAATATCTAAATTGATTTTATATTTCTGGGATTCATATTCCACACGCATAATCACATTTCAAAATGGGACAAGAACTATCTACACTGTATTTTATATAACACAACCTTTGAAAACTTGAAATTGAATGATTGGAGGGAGATATAATGTGGTTTTGATAAATAAGGACAAGGAGATATACGTGCAACTACAAGTAACATAGGAATAAATAATGATTAGTAACGAAGAAGCCATGAGTCCAGAAGAAAAAAAGAAGAGGTACTCTTCAAATTCTCTAAACCGAAACCTCTACAACTGCTCAAAAAGAAAGATTCAACTTATAATTTGTATCTTATTTATTAAGTTCACTATTTTTTTTGTTCTCTATGAATCTATGATGAGGGCTAAAGTATAAATCCATAGAGAGACACATAGGTGCTTTTTTTTTTGTGTGTGTGACTAGTTATATGTTTTTTCTCCTAATTCAATTGTATAGTGTGACTAGTTATATGTTTTTTGTGTGTGTGTGGCTAAAGTATGTTTTTTCTTTCATGGTTTTTTTCAGAATGCTCAATACAATGATAAAATACTAGATTTACGGATATGTCTTCATTTTTTACGTCAAAAGCAAGCATGCCAAAATATTCAAGGGGCTCTGGGGATTTTAGATTTGTATCATATACTAGAAGTCACCATATGGGAGGACTAAGGAGAAGGATCAGATGATGTGGATCATCAAGCAAAGTCTCAATGGAATGCAATCCCGGGTAAATCTTTGCCTTGAATTATCTACAAATTAGTTTCTATTCATTACTAAGTTCTCTATTTATTAAAAGTTCTTTAATAGTTGCTTGGTCTTAGGAGTTTAGCAAATATCTTATCTAAAATGGTAACATCTATATAGTGTGATCCTATAAATTTGTTGTTGAAGTTATGGAGATGATGATGATGATGATGATGACATATATGACAATTTGATATACCGGGAGCATATGACTGGGCCGACACGAGCACAGGCGTAACCACCGAACGGTTACATCCCAAGCCTTAGATTTCTAGACATTGGTGGCTATATATATAATGGTCATGAGGATCTTCTGGTGTCTTTTGGAAACCCTTACTTTATATTAAGGGTATAAATGTGTCTACCATGTTTTAACGTTGGAACCATGACAAGATCTTCATAACGTGCTGGTGTAAAGTAATAGGCCCTTGAGATATACCAAGGAAGATACGTCACTCTCGCCTATACGCAAGGTGAGAGATCCAAAATGTTGACTGAAATGAGTCTTCAATCTTTACGTTTTTTACTGTTTCTTATCAAATACACCTTAAGCAAATGTGTAGTTATATATATATATAATTGTGTTGTTCAAAATTTGTCAGTCATGTTTTTAATCATGAATTAATCAACGAAAGAGTGAGGAAGTGAAACATGATTGTAGCTTCGTCTTCCAAAAAGATAGGATTCCACAAGATTGATGGATCATATACATAAGATTCAAAACCTCAACGTGGCTTCATATTTTGTAAGCCAACACAAATCATTGAATCTTATCCAGGCCCGGCCGGCCCCTCATACCCAAGACACATGGGACTGGGCCTCCAAATTTTTTAAGATTTTTAGTAACAAAATTAGGCCTCAAAATAATTTGTTATTGCAAAAATATGTCTCTCGAAATGTTTAGATTTTGTTTCAAATTTTGAATTCTGTCTACTTGTTATTACTAAAAGGCCTCATTTTTCTGAATTTTTTAAATTTGGGTTCAAGTTTTAACTTTTATCGATCAAATCCATCAAAAAATTTGTTTTGTCTTTGCGTGCTTTTCTTTTTACACCTCAAATAGTCGATCCAGTCTTAAACTCGCTCTCATTTGCATTGCTTGCACCTTTCGAATTGGTAAATGTTATCATTAAATTATCAACATTCTCATCATCGTTAGAAACATTATGGTTATCCAGATTCGTAAACTCAGAGTAGAAACCCCGTCATGGCTTCGTCATCATATTTCAACTCTCCAAGACTTTCCTAGCCACAGCTTCAATCCCCAACATACAGACCTAATAGCTCAAGGTAGCTCGATATCGGAGAACTCCAAGGGGTCATCGAATTTATTCTAATGATATCAGTGTCGGTCCGTTTATGAGACGTTCTCGGCGGCAGAGTGTTGCTGATGGAGTTAGACATAGTGAACAGAATCCAATGATGCAATTGAGAACGGTTTTGGTTAAACCCAAAGGAAGAGTCTATGTTCTACACATGTGCTGATGGAGAAGTGTACATCGGCGGGATAGAATTATGACAAATTGACGCCGGAGATGAACTCAACAGCGAAATAGAGGAATAGACATGCGACGACATAGTCATCGACCCTAGTCCATGGTTGGAGTGCAGAAATGAATGACAACGGCTGAGTAAAGCTCAGCGGTGCCAATGAATGATGGAACGAAGACGATGAAAGACTCGTCTGTGAAAGTAGGAGAAGGTAGACGACGATTGAGTAGTCCACCACGGTTCGAGGCTGAAATGGGGCGACCCGACTAGAAAAGGGGTCAATGGTGGGATTTGTGAAAAGGTTGACAAATAAGTCTAGGGAGACGGTGACCACCGATTATCAGGCCACCGTTAGTGCCCACAAGATTCTAGTATTGGCTGCTTAAAGTTAAAGGAGTCATATCGCCACTATTATTCATCGTTATCGGAGTCTCTGCATCAAATCGGAGTTGTTATTTATTTTTTATTTTTTTGGTATCAAATGTTATAACATGTGTAGTCAAATATTGATACCAATAATAAAAAATAACAATAACAACTATGACTTGATGCAGAGACTCTCAGAACGATGAATGGTAGTGGTGATATGACTCCTTTAGGCACCCAATACTAGAATCTTGTTAGCACTGACGGTGGCCAGAGAACCGGCGTGTTGCCATCTCCCTAGACTTCTTTGTCAACCCTATCGCAAGTCCCATCATTGACCCATTTTCTAGTGGGTCGCCGCATTTTAGCCTCGGACTGTTGTGGGCTACCCAATCGTCGTCTACCTTCTCCTACTTTCACAGACGAGTCCTTCATCGTCTTCGTTCCATAATTCATTGGCGCCGATGAGCTCTACTCGTCCGTTGTGATTCATTTTTGCACTCTAACCACGAACCACGGTCGATGACTCAGCCGTCACATGTCTTCTCCTCGATTCCGCCGGTGAGCTCATCTTCGGCACCAATCCGTCATAATTCTATCTTGTCGATGTACACTTCTCCATCAACACATGTGGAGAACATAGACTCTTCCTTTGGGTTTCACCAAAAACTGTTCTCCATTGCCTCATCGGGTTCTGATCACTAGGTCTAACTCCATCAGTAACACTCTGCTGCGAGAAAGTCTCATAAACTGACTGACACTGATATAGTTAGGATAAATTCGATGACACCTCGGAGTTCTCCGAGATCGATCTACCTTGAGCTATTAGGTCTGATGGTTGGGGACTCAAGCTTTGGCTAGGAAGGTCTTGTAGAGTTGATATATGATGACGAAGCCATGAAAGAGTTCTACTCTAAGTTTATGAATCGGGATAACAATAATGTTCATACGATGATGAGAATGTTGCTAATTTGATGGTAACATTTACCAATTCGGAAGATGCAAGCAATGCGAATGAGAGCGGGTTTAAGATTGGATCGACTACTTCAGGTGTAAAAAGAAAAGTAGGCAAAGATATTAAACCTTTTATGCAGACTCTATAAGAGTGCTTTAGTGGATACCAGTTTCATTGGCTGGATAAAGCGTTGGAATCTTCCGAGTCAAGTTTCCTCTAGCAATTCTGTTAGGAAAGGCGAGTATTCTACCGATCCTAATTGAGTCAAAAGGTAAGCAATACGTGACTACAATTTTTCTCCTTTAATTTTTATTATTACTATGTGATGTATGGTTTTATGACATTTATTCATATGGATGCTCATTCAGAATCTTGGCAAACTGAGACTCTGCTGCAAGTTCAAAACAGATAAAGTCGCGGTACGTTGTTTATTTGGAATGCAGAGTAGAGATTCTTGAGATGGCTAATACTTCACTGTTCTAAATGACCATGCATTTGGAGGTGAGGCATATCACATTAGCAAGTAATAACCATCTACTTGTAGGCTTGAATGGCACTTTGGAAGGAACCTTATAAAATACAATGGTCCTTGGCCTGAAGGGATGTACGTGTTTAGAACCTCTTAGTTATTCCAAAAAAAAAGGAAATAACTATCTACTTGTCATGTCTAAGCGGTTCCTATAAGGAATTTATTAAGTTTATATTGTTTTTGCAAAGAATCAAAGAATGATGATGATGAACGAGAACAAAAAATGAAGATTTGAGTTTAATTGCTGGAGCAACGGGTGCAGCTTCGTGATGGTATTTCTTAGCAAGTTCTTTGTTATGCAAACTAAAATAATGTTAGAAATTTCTATTAAACATGGTTGTTATGCTGGTAGTTGCATGATCTTTGGTTTTGACCTTACTCATATAATAATAATTAAATTGTCAAAACAACATCGTGAAATACATTTATTTTTCTCTGTTATGTCGGAAGCTTAATCCTAGATAGGATGTAAATCTATTGTTATGTACAGACAAAATAACATTTTTGGATGAAGTTTTTACTAGCCACCTTTTCTTTTTAAAAAAATCCATGCTCGGAAACTATAGAACATATGTTTTCATTTCCTCTATGGTTACGGCCTTAACTGAACAATTGTGTGTAGAAATCGAAGGGTAAAGAAGGCAACAACCTCAAAAAAACGAGAGAGTATAAACGTTCAATCATCTACTTGTCGGTTCGAGTGGTACTTGGGAGAAAATCATATAAAATGCCCTATTCCCTCTCTATTCTTTATAAATATCTTTACTCTTAAAAATCAAGCAACTCTAACTAAACGTAACTCCCACTTAACACCCCCTTCCTTTAATTTGATTGTGGTTGTAATTGTCGAAGAGTGAACATTTACATGTAATTAACATACTAGGAATGTTTCCAATCTCTAAGAATTGTGGAGTGGGAAGTTGACTAAACCACCATGAAAGGGGCATTGTTGTGAGAGTAGAGCGTTGTTGATATATGTCGCCTGAGTTATGGTGGCGGCAAAAAATAGCCAGAGATGGGTGATAGAGAAGGTAAAAATTTCTTTAGCTATAGGTTTTTTTGTTTGATTTTGATCATTGGGCATGCAAGACTAGATTTAATAATTGGGTAAGGATAACTCATTAAATTGGTGATGATGATGTTTCTTCATTTTAGACATTCAAGGAATGATGTAGAAGTGTTGCCAATCTCTGGGAAGCTGATTAAACCATCACAAGAAGCGTCTAGATTTTTGGAATCATGAGATTTTGAAAATCGAGTGTAGTGTCTTTTGCAAGGGGAGGATGTTGTTGACATCATAGTCATGGTGGCAGTGAAAAATAGTCAGAAATGTGTATAAGTGAAAGTGAAAATTTATTTGGTTGTGGTTCTTTGGTTGGATTTTGATAATTGGACAAGTGAGATTACTTTTAATAATTGGCTTAGATTGGTGAAAGTGTGGAATTGAATACATAAGATTATAAGTATCCCTAAAATTTATATGAAAGGATAACTCATCAGAGAAAAGGGTGGGTGGGTTATTGAGATATGGAAGTTTAAAAAATGTGAGATCTATTAGATTCTACTCTGATTGGATGGATTCTCGTATTCTTTATAAATCCATCATTATTGGTATGGTGATTCATAAATTCTATTCAAAATGTATTGTGCATTATTCAAAGACTTTGGTTTTCATTGATTCTACAATTCTATTAAAATCTAGTATTACTAGGATATGAATTCCTAACAATTTAACTTATAAACACACAAACTTTGAAATATTATGGATATAGAACTCTTCAAGTCTTTACAACATAATTAATATTTTCATAGATTTATGAATTCCCAAAACTCCCTGCAAATTTAACAAGACTTTGAAAATTTAACAAGACTTTGAAAATTTAACAAATCTATCGACTTTTAAAATCAATCAACTCTATCTAAATCCAATTCCTTATAACACCCCCTATAAATATGATTGTGGATGCAACTGTAGAATTACCTCTCATTAATGTGGTAGAAGCACTGCCAATCTTTGAGAAGCGTAAAGTGGGAAGATATGACTAAACCATCATGACAAGCGTCTGGATTTTCGGAATCGAGGAGATTTTGCAGGAGTGTTGTGATTTTTTGTGAGAAGAGAGCATTGTTGATGTATGTCGCCAGAGTGATGGTGATGGTGGTGGCGGTGAAAAATAGTCTGAGATTTGTGAGAAAGAGATAATAAGTTTCCTTAGCTAGGTTTCTTTGGTTAGGTTTTGATTATTGGGCATGTGAGATGGGCTTTAATAATTGGGCTTGGATTGGTAAAATGTGGAATTAAGCTATTGTAATTAATTTTGGAGTTTCAAAAATGACTGTTTTTGATTGTTATACTGAAACGAACAAATAAATAACTAATCGAATTCGTACAAGGTTCAAATTCTCCCAGGCACAGGTTTCGAGGAACTCTCACCTACTTCCCGATTTGCTAATTTCCGCCGCATCTACCAATTTCACCACCGTGGAAAGCCAGAGTCCTCCGCAACTGTTTTTTCCGGCGACATTTATTCAAATTTTTTTTTGATTAAATTCGTTTCTTTTTGGAATTTTACCGCGAGAATGGTGGGCTTTCTCTTCCCGTTAAGCCCCAGACCTCCGGTTTCAGGTTTTGGACCCGGAATTGAGCTTGTTTAGGGAAACGTCCCCGAATTTTCTTCAGTTTGAAGAGTTTTTTCTCCCCAGTGGAGAGTGTACTCCCCCTTGGAGGTGTTACTGTTCAGGTGCAGTCTTTTCCGTAGTCGTCAATTTTGGAGTCAATCGGTTTAAGTGTACGAGTTGTTCTATCTGGTTGGTGGTCTGCTCTGCTTCTACAGTTCTGTTTCTGTAAGCGAACGTCTCATCCCTTGTTCAACCGAAGCTGCTCCAGCGTCTAGCGATGTCTCAACGTTTCTCAAGACAAGAAAAAGCTAAATGGGTGGCCTCTCCACCTAAAGCTAGCTTACGGTCACCAATCCGTCTCCCGGAGTGCGACAACCAGGAGCTCATCATTAAGAACAATCTTACTCTGGTTGGAAGAGTTTCCAACCCTAGGGTTCAGAATGCAAAAGCATTGGTAAACTATATGCTTCAGTTTTGGAACCTTGAAGACAGGGTTACCGAAAAAGAGTTGGGTCCGGGGAGATTCCAGTTCTCTTTTTAGAGGGAAGAAGATCTTCAGTTGGTGTTGAGCTGGTCCCCCTTCCACTTTAAACACTGGATGTTTATTTTGCAGAGGTGGGAACCCATAATCTCTGACGACTTTCCCTCTAATATCCTCTTTTGGATTCAGCTACAAGGAGTACCTCAGCACTACTGGACAGTAAAAGCTCTCAGCACGATAGGGAAAAGCCTGGGTAAAGTGGAGGTGACGGATACGGAAGGAGTCCGCCTTAGAGTCCATATCAACGCTTTACAGCCCCTGGAGAAACAAGTTCCCATTATGCTTCCCTCTGGGGAAGTCACGGTGGTCTCTCTTGAATATGAGAGGTTGGAGAAACACTGCTTTGACTGTTTCTCCTTATCTCATGAGAAAAAAGACTGCCCTAACAGAGCGGAAATCGCTTACAAGGAAGATAACTTAAGTGGATCCTACCACAATTATGGCTCTCAGAAAGATGAGAGGAAGGACCTCCAAGTCAACAGAAATCAGAGAGATAGGAGAGAGATCTCAGGGAATAGAAGGAGATACGGCTCTCCTATGGGGCGTGTTTCCGCTACTCCTGTCAAAAGAAGATCTCCTCCCAGAGCACAGCGTTACAAAGAGAGAAATTATGGCTACTCGCCAAGAAGAAGAGAGGAGGTGCAGAGAAGATCAGAATTCAAGAGATCACACAGATATCAATCCGAGGAGGTGTCTCACAGATACCCAAGGTCACATCATCTTGAAAGAATCTCTGAAAGCCGACACCAACGCTTTGACTGGAGAAGTAGAAGGTCTCCTCCAAAAACTAGAAGTGTGCAAGATACTACTAGTGGGGCTGGAAGAGAATTCCACAACTCGCAGAAGGAGCCTACTCCTTCTAGGCAGGAGATATTGAATACTCCACCCCCAAGAGTTCTACCAGCTTCGAATCCACCGGGTCTCTCAGGTAGATTAGGGATTCAGAGTTCTGCTAAGGATCGTCGCCCGATACTTGAAAGATTATCTTGAGGGGAAGCTTTCATAGAACAGAGTCAAGGACATGGGGTCTCTTCTTCCATGTCAGGGAGACTTCAGGATGTCAATATTCAGTATCTTGGAGAGGAGGGACAGACTGGGTTGCCAATCAATAATGACATCTTGATTGGGTCAAGCTCTGCTCAGCTCCATCCTACACTGGGACAGAGGCTGTCACTTGGGCATGAAGACTCTCAGGGCTCTCAGAGAGTACCGGCTAATCAAAGACTAACTCTTGAACAACCTGCAGTCACCATTTCCATTCCGGCTAAGATCCCTAAAACTAGAGCCAATGCAAAAAAGAAAGCCTCTGTGCCAGCTAGTTCTAGAGGCATTCGAAGCCCACTGCAGGGAGCTAGTTCAAAGAAAAGAAATGCTACTAAACCGAGAGTGGTAGCAGCAAGAAAACGACTATGTCATGATCAAGTCCCTACAGAAGTGGACCCTGTTACAGAGCCTCAACCCTCGCAGCCCTCAGTTAAGCTGATCCCTGCAACAAAAAAGGCCAAGAATAAGGTGGATTTTCAAAACCCACCAAATCCTCTTCCTTAGTGGTAGGAAGCTGGAACTGTCAGGGTATTGGAGGCGACCTTACAGTTCCAAGATTAAGGGAGATCCGCAATGACTTCTCCCCAAATATCTTATTTCTTATGGAAACAAAGAATCAAGATGACGTGGTTCTCAAGGAACTGATCTCTTTAGGCTTTGTTAGTCATTGTATTGTCCCACCACAAGGTCTAAGTGGGGGTCTTGTTCTGTTCTGGAAAGATGAGGTTGTGGTGGAAATTCTGGCCTCCTCACCAAACTTCATTGATACAAAAATCAACTTCCAAAACATCACCTCTTTCATTACTTTTGTGTATGGTGCTCCGCAAGTTGAAGATAGACAACAACTTTGGAATGAAATCTCTGTTTTAGGTGCTGCAAGAGAGTCGGCTTGGCTGCTTATGGGAGATTTCAATGAAATTATGGACAACTCAGAAAAAGTAGGCGGGCCAGCTAGAGCTGAAGGTTCTTTCATACCTTTCAGAAGCTTTGTGTCGCAGAACGGCCTTTGAGATGTGAATCACTCCGGAAATAGCCTCTCCTGGAGGGGACAGAGGCACTCACATTTTATTTTGTCAAGGTTGGACAGAGTGATGGCCAATACCTCTTGGTCAGAATTATTTCCCTCGGGACGTTGTAAGTACCTCAGATTTGAGGGCTCGGATCATAGACCGCTTATCACCTTTTTTGACCCTACTAAAGTGAAAGCCAAAGGTGTATTCCGGTTTGATAGAAGCCTAAGAGATAAGGAAGAGATTTACTCTCTTATTGCTAATAAGTGGGAGTCCAGGGAGGAGGAGTCTCTGTTTGTTAAGTTTGGTAGATGCCAGAGAAGTTTAATTCAGTGGGCTAAGGATCAGCTGGAGACTAAACTACAATGTATTAAAGAGCTTCAAGAGGCTCTGGAAACTGAGCTCTCTTCTCCCACACCAAACAATGAGGAGATCTCTCGAATCACAAGCAATTTAAAGACTGCATATCAAGAGGAGGAAGCAGTATGGCGTCAAAGAAGTAGAATTCAATGGCTTCAAGAAGGAGATCAAAACACAAGTTTTTTCCACGCGGTTACCAGAGGTCGTAAAGCTTTGAATCACTTCTCTGTGATTGAAGATGAAGAAGGTACAAAACACTTTGAGAATAAACAAATTGCGGAAACAGTGGCTAGATTCTATGAGAATCTCTTCAAGTCGACCTCTACTAGCAGCTTGCGCATAGTGGAAGAAGCTATCCAACCAAAAATCACTGAAGCGATGAATGCTAAGCTGACCAAAACCCCTGACGATAAGGAGATCCATGAAGCAGTTTTGGATATTCACGCCGATAAAGCCCCAGGCCCGGATGGCTTCTCTGCTGATTTTTATCATTCTTTCTGGGAGATTATAGGGAAGGATGTGGCTAATGAGGTCAGAAGCTTCTTTGTAAGTGGTGTTCTTCATCTCCGGCATAATGAAACACATGTAAGACTTATTCCTAAGATTATAGGGCCTAAGAAGGTCTCGGATTTTAGGCCAATTGCATTGTGTAGTGTTCATTATAAGATCATCGCAAAAATCCTCTCTAAGAGACTGCAACCACTTTTAAATCTGCTAATCTCAAAGCACCAATCCGCCTTTGTGCCGGGAAGAGCCATTTCGGATAATGTACTCATCACTCATGAAGTGTTGCATTTTCTCAAAGTCTTGGGTGCTAAAGTTCATTGTGCAATGGCGGTAAAAACCGATATGAGCAAGGCGTACGACCGCATCGAATGGCCTTTTCTTCATCCGGTTCTTAAGAGATTTGGGTTCCATGATTTGTGGATTCGTTGGGTTTTAGAGTGTGTCTCCTCCGTGAACTACGCTTTCCTTATCAATGGATCCCCCCATGGAAAAGTGCTCCCTTCGCGTGGCCTTCGACAAGGCGACCCGCTCTCACCGTATCTTTTCATCCTATGTACGGAAGTCCTCTCGGGCCTTTGCTTAAATGCTCAAAGAAAAGGTACGCTCCCCGGAGTAAGAGTTGCAAAAAGGAGCCCTTTGATTAACCATCTTCTCTTTGCGGATGACACTATGTTTTTTAGTAAAACTAGTGTCAAAATTTGTGAGGCTCTCTTGTCTATTCTTATGAGATATGAGGAAGCTTCGGGACAATGCATAAATGCGGACAAATCCGGCATCACTTTCTCCTCAAAAACACCTCCGGAGATTAAGGATAGAGTAAAGAAGGCCTTAGGGATTTCAAAAGAAGGAGGAATTGGTAAATATCTTGGCCTTCCCGAGTTCTTTGGGAGAAGGAAAAAGGATATCTTTACTTCCATTGTGGATAAGATTAGACAAAGAGCTTTGTCTTGGACAAATCGGTTTTTGTCGGGAGCCGGGAAACAAGTGCTTCTTAAAGCGGTGTTAGCGGCAATGCCTTCCTACGTCATGTCTTGTTTCAAGCTACCTATGTCTCTTTGCAAGAGAATTCAAACGGCTCTCACTAGGTTTTGGTGGGACGATAATCCGGAAAAGAAAAAGATGTGTTGGATTGCGTGGGAGAAGCTCACCTTGTCTAAAGAAGAGGGAGGTTTGGGCTTTAGGGATATCGCCGCCTTTAATGACTCTCTACTTGCAAAGATTGGTTGGAAGTTGTTACAACAACCGGACGCTCTCTTATCTCAAGTTCTTTTGGGCAAATATTGCCATTCGTCCTCCTGTATGGAGTCAAGTATCCCGTCTAATGCTTCCCATGGTTGGAGAAGTATCATGGAAGGAAGAAAAATATTGGACAAAGGAGTAGGTTGGATAATTGGTAATGGGGAATCAATTAATCTTTGGAAAGATCCATGGCTTTCCACTTCGGAGCCATCACGTCCCTTAGGTCCTCCTCCTTTAGCGAATTTAGAGCTAAAAGTTAAAGATCTCCTTCTACCAAACTCCATGAATTGGAATCTAGAAGCCATAAGGCTTCATGTGCCTCATCATGAGGAAGAAATACTCAAGATTATTTTGAGTTCTAAACCCAAGCCAGATAGATTGAGATGGCTGCCCTTAAAAGGAGGTGCTTACTCATCTAAGTCGGGTTACTCTTTGGGGAAGTCTGTCATCTCTCTGACTAGTGTGGATAGTTTCAAATGGACCACTCATGTATGGAAGATTTGTACTTCACCAAAGTTGAGGATGTTCTTGTGGAAAGCTGCTAGGAATGTGTTACCTTTTGGCAAGGCCCTTTCAACTAGAGGAGTGGTAGCGGATGCAATGTGTAAAAGATGTGGCGCGGTGGAGGACTCGATGCATGTCTTCTTTCACTGTCCTTTTGCGAAGAAAGTGTGGGAGCTAGCCCCAGCTCTAGATTGCTTAGAGGTGCTCTCTGCGACCTCGTTTCATGACGGTTTAGTTAAGGCTAAGAAGTTGGTTACGCTTCCTCCGATTGGTCTTGGCATAGCCCCACTTTTCCCTTGGCTGCTCTGGTTCATGTGGAAGGCAAGGAACCTATTAATCTTCGAAGATAAGTGCTGCTCCGCAGAAGATACAATGCAAAAGGCTATCAAAGAGGCTCGGAGTTGGCAATCGGCGAAATTGTTTCAAACAAAAAAGACTCATTCCCGGCGAGACAAGACCACTGAAGCAGCACACTGTGAGGCTTTTTTATGCTACTCGGACGCCTCTTGGCGATCTCCTTCTCAAGATTGTGGTGTGGGATGGATTATCAAGAATCTAAAACTTTCGGTGATCCAAAAGGGATCTTCTTCTCGACCCTCTGTTTCCTCTGTTCTTGTAGCAGAGGCACTTGCTTTGAAAGTGGCCATTACGGCGGCTTTAGCTTTGGGTGTTTCTAGGTTGGCCTGCTTCTCGGACTGCAAAGAGCTCACTACTCTTCTCAATTCGAATGGTCAAGCAAATGCAATTGACGGTCTCCTCTCCGATGTTAGAGACCTTTCCTCTGTTTTTGTTTCTTGTACCTTTCACCATGTCCCTCGCTCTCTTAATGAGGAGGCTGACGCTTTGGCCAAGTCGGCTTTGGATTCTAGTTTAGTACCCTCTGTTTCTGAAGTTTAAGTTTAATGATAAGATATGTTTCACAAAAAAAAAAAAAAAAGCTATTGTAATTATCCGTATTAGTTGTGTAAATGGATAACTCATTAGATTGATGGTGATGAGGGGTCAACATTTAAGATGATTGGGCACTCTAAATCAATAAATATAATATGGTAGAATTTAAAAGTGTTTCCAATCTCTGAGAAACGTAAAATGGAAATTGTGAATAAACCACCATAAAAAGCGTCTGGATTTTTGGAGTCAAAGAGATGTAGAAGATGGAGTGTGGTTGTTTTTTTAGAGGGGGTAATGTTATTGTTTTATGCCATTAGAGTCACGGTGGCATCGAAGAACAATAGGTGTGTGCAAATCATAGATGTGTGTAAGAGAAAGTAAAAGTTTTTTGGTTACAATTCTTTGGTTGAGTTTTGATTATTTGGTATAAATTAACCAAATTAGATAGTTAATCATTAGGTTGGCTTTTGAAACATCATAGAAGTTGCTTGTTCCTCTAACTAAATCTCACGAAACTTAGAAATGGTAAATCTTTTAGTTCTTTTCATCCTTTTTTTCTACTCACCAATCAAGTTCCTGACTAGTCACCATGCTGGTCAATATTTTTCTTCTTTTGAACAGAGCACCATAATTATCGTCGTTTTAGTATCATTCTTACTTTTTTGAATCATATATATTAAAGTTGGATAATTTTCTCCATATAAAAAAACAAGAATGTGTTAATAAAAAAAATTAGTGTTACGACTAAAATTTACCAATAAAAATTATATCCTTAATAATAACCGCAAGTGCACAGCAAGCGCAATAGTACTTAGGGATCGAATCAAAAGAGATCAAAGAAACACAAAATATTTGCAAAGATTTAGACAAAGCTAGAACAATAGAGAGTTATAGGAACTCAGGTGAGTTTGCAGAAATAAATACATATAATATAAAAAAATAAAATATATATAATATAAAAATAAATATAAGAAATAGAGAATCAGAAATTCATCAAAAAATATATGAAAATCATGTAGGTTCGATTATGATTCTAAAAGTTTTTGAAATCAGATTTCTATTGTAAATTACCCTAACGGCGTTGTATTGATAATTCCATGAAGGGACTACATAGATTCATAAACTTTGGCTAAGCTTGTTCTAAGTAATCCAATCAAGAAATAAGAACATAGTCCAATAAATTTACAAAACTACTTATAACGAAGTCCGTTAAGAAAATTTTATAGAACTTGAGAAAAGAAAGAACACAATGATTCAACAAGAATAACTCTCTTTATTGATGTTTAGAAACTAACTCAAAACTATACAATGTTTTCTCTCTTTCTCAAACTCTCTCATAAAACTCATAAGAATTACCACACCTTGGTATCTCTTTTTATATAGAAAACCTAAAGACCTAATCCAAGTCTAACTAGGTTTAGTGTTTAGATAACTCCTAAACACTTTTGGATAACTTCCAAATCTCTTAAACTATATCCTTTTATTTTGCTAACTTATAACTCAAGTTAACTAACTCTTCAAGCTTAACTCAACATTCTCCCCCTTAAGCTTGAAGTTATCCTTCTTCACATCTTGAACTCCAATGAGGTTTCTCATCTCTTTAAATTTGATCCTACCAAGTGGCTTGGTTAGAATATCCGCCTTTTGCTCATTACCGGGAACATGTTCTACCTCCACTTGCTCATTTTCCACACACTCTCTAATGAAATGGTACCTTCTATGAATGTGTTTGCTTCTCCCATGGAACACCGGATTCTTAGTCAAAGCTATAGCCGACTTCTTGTCAATCCTCAACAAAACTTTCTCGCCTTTGATGCTTAATATTTCACTCATACCGGCCAACAAAATGTTATGTTTGTCATCATCCAGATTCAGCTTCCCTTTTACAACAACTCTCAGAATCAAGTCAAACACTTTCTGAAAAACAGTGTTCATTCCCCATTGCATATTCCTCACAAACTCTGATTTCGATCTCAAGTCATCTCCTGTCACCAAGCGCATCTCCGGGTTTTGACTGAAAGTTATAAGCTTTCCTCTCCATGGCTCTTCAGATAACTCAGAGACTAGCAGATTCAAAGCGACTGAAACCTCCATTGAATCACCATTCATAGACCCTGAAACGTCACAGATAGCGATATAATTCCTCAAAGAACCTTTCTCTTTCAGATCATCCACCATTTGTTTCCACTGCAGCTCAGCTACTTGTCCACCTTCTCCACCATCTAAAACTCTGATTATCTCGTGAGGTAACACAGCACCAGCAGCTAAGACTTCCACTGCTAACCGTTCTTGATTATGATTTTCGCCAATAGTTTTAAATTCGAACTCATCAAGGTACCCAAACTCCAAAATTTCCACTTCTCTCACAATCAAACTATAAATTGCTCCCATCCTCGACGCAGTCACAACGCTTCTCTGCAACATAGTCACAACGCTTCTCTGCAACGTAGTCCCAACGCTTCTCTGCAAAGTAGCCTTTGCTTTAGATTCCTCTGCAACACATTCTTCCAGCTCACTCTTACTTCTACTAAGCTTCAGATGAAAAACTCCAGCCACAAATTGAACTTCAGCCTCCTTCATTTCAAATTTGTCGTGCTCTGTCTTCACATTCTTCAATTCTGCTAGTTTATTTTTCATGGTTTTAAATGTATCTGCAGCAGATAGTTCTTCTTTCACTTCAGCCAGAATTGCGGCTTGGGGAGTTTCTTCCTCTTGTAAATTCTCATTACGCAAATCCTTCTCATGTTTCTTTTTCTCCCTTTTACTCCTTTTAGCTTTTTCTCTCCTTTGAGATATGTTTAAACTGTTTCCATAATAAAGAACATCCTTCTCTGCTTCATTTGTGTCGGCTTCAGCTAGTTTTGACTTCTTTGACTCTGTTCGATAGTGGATTTTTCCATCCAATGTCTTGACAGGAAGCACATCAACATGATCTACAAGAAATTCGCCATTTCTTGTATCTTCCAGAAGTGTCTTCTTCTTTGATCTTTCTTCTTCATACTTATCCTCCACTGTCTTTACTCTACCACCGCATTGCTTATTGATAGCGACGGTGTCAAGTCGAGAGACAAATCGGGCATATTCAGTGTTCTCTTTGACGTACTTCAAATCCTCATCGGAAGTAACACCTCCTGGTTTAGGATTAAACTTCTGGATTCCTGCCTCCATCAGCTGAAACCTCCATCTCAAGAACTTCTCTTTGTTCTTCTCTTCGTATTCCTTATTGTCTTCTTCTTCTACCCTCTCAACAACAGTCTCATCTTTCGCTGCTTCTTTGGTAACAACAGCCTCATATTTCTTCTCTTCTTCAACCTTTTCCCATGCTTCTTCCTTCTTCTTCTCAATCTCAGCTTCATGTTTCACCACCTCTTCCTTCTTCTCCTTCACAGGAGAGCTCTCCTTCTTCTTCGTCTTTAAGAGAGTGTTTTCAACAATAGCTTCCTCAAGCTTAGACTTAAGATTGCTCAGAGCCTTTTTCTCAGATTCTTTCATATCAGCAGAGAAATCACTCTCTTCTTTAAACAAAACACTCTTCTCCACACCCTTGGGCTTGTGATTTTGCATCCCTTGAGATATCCCGTCTTTAGCATACAGATGCACGAGGCCATAAATTGGAGGCCACATCTGTTCATGGGTAGGGTTAAACAAGACGACGTGTTGACTCGGGTTAAATACCTTCGATTTTGATTGATTCACGCTAGCCACCATGAGAACTAGCGCCGTATCGTCTACTTCCGAGGCCGATGATTTTGCTTTTATCATACGAGGTGGTGAAGATTCCGGCGAGGAAGTAAAGGCTTTATCTTCATCGTAGGGTTGAATCGGAATTCTCATGATAACTTTGTAGAGCCTATTTTTGGACCTTTTTGCTTTAACTAATAGCTTTCCGTCTCGGTCATACAGAGTCAAGTAATCTTCTCGCATTCTCACATCGCAGCCCGACTCGGTAGCTTGGCCGAGACTCAGAATATTGCTTCTCAAGTCCGGTATGTAATATACATCGTGTAAAGCTCTTCTCTCTCCATTTTTTGCTATAAACACAATCGAGCCTTTTCCTTTGATGTCAATTTGAGAATCATCACCAAACCTCACCTTTCCTGTGATTGACTCATCAAGCTTAGATGGTGTTATGGGTCCACATAGATCAGCATGGAGTAACTCTAATGGTTTAGTTGCTCGGAACATAGTCGCCTTCGGAAAAACTTGACGAGTCTGTTTCCCTACTAAACATGATTCACACAACTTCTTCTCTTCATTCACTTCTGGCAGTCCATGAACAATTCCTTGCTGGAACATCGTCTTGACTGTTTTAAGGTTGACATGACCTTTGTATCCTCTGCTTCTTCTTCCACGACCTCTCCCTCGTGAAGTTACAAAGCTATATTGGTTCGAATATGCGTACAACAACTTGCCTTGTGTTTCTCCGTGATTCTCCTCATCGAGAATCCGTTCTTCATATGTCATCTCCGATATTTTGCCCCTGAATTCATCAATTGTGTCTGAATCCGTCATCTTTATCCTCTCAAATTCGGACATCAGGGTTTGAAATCGCGCCTCCTTGACACGATCAGCCCCTTGGTTACGAGTCTTGATCGCTCCCCAAATATCTCTTGGTGAACTTTGATCTCCTACTTGTAAGATAAGGGACTCCAGGATGGATTGAAATAGCATCGCTATTGCAACATCGTTCTTGTTGGCGTCATCCGTTCCGGGTTCTATGGATTCCCACACCTTGTAAATCCGTAGCAATACACGCATCCTCATGGCACATACCGTATAGTTCGTTGGCGTGAGCATGGGGCAATGGATCGGTATTGCTTTGTCCAACTCCTTTGGACGTGTTTGCAAAATCTCCGCCACCTTGCGGTTCTTGCGTCTTGTGAATAGGGTTCCGAGATCGAGTCCTAACTTGATCGATTCTAACCTAATGCTCTGATACCAAATATAGAACTTGAGAAAAGAAAGAACACAATGATTCAACAAGAATAACTCTCTTTATTGATGTTTAGAAACTAACTCAAAACTATACAATGCTTTCTCTCTTTCTCAAACTCTCTCATAAAACTCATAAGAATTACCACACCTTGGTATCTCTTTTTATATAGAAAACCTAAAGACCTAATCCAAGTCTAACTAGGTTTAGTGTTTAGATAACTCCTAAACACTTTTGGATAACTTCCAAATCTCTTAAACTATATCCTTTTATTTTGCTAACTTATAACTCAAGTTAACTAACTCTTCAAGCTTAACTCAACAAATTTGCCTCCCTTTAATAGATCCATCAATTCAACACCATGGCTAGGCTTGAGAAATTAGATCATGGGCAACAAGTGAATTGGCCTAATTCATTTAAGGCTTTAAAAACAACTAGGGCAGCAAACTATCAGAGATCATAACAGAGAAAGACACTTAGGTTAGACATATGATCCATTTCTTTGGGGATCCTAATTTATCGATAGAAGTGCTCGTAGATCAGTACCGATCGGTGAAGTGCAATACCAATTGGTCAAATTCCATTATCGGACTACTCACACATGATCTAAGTGAATGTTATCATTGTAGAAGAAGGATCAAGAGTTTAGAAGAGATCTACCAAAGGTTTTAACAATCTTAAAAGCAACAATAAATAAAGAAGATGAACAATAAAAAATCGTAAAGTAAAGTATGCCATGCGGTACAAAAACAAAAAGTTTATATAAAGATTGAGACACAGCCCTAAAAAGAAGAAAAAGGAAGGTTTACAAAGGCCCAACCGAGCGGCGGCGTCTTGATAACCGATAGGTTTGATCTCTTCACCGATCAGGCCTCTTAATAGATCATCTCTTCTTTTGACGCTTTTTGGTCCATTTGTTCCTTCAAAAGTCCACTTCTGTTCCGTAGGTCCAAAATCCTGAAAACACTAAAAGATATCTAAAATGACTTGTTTTCGACTAAAACTTGATAAAACAAACAAAAGAAACTTATAAATGTGTTAAAAATATCACTTAACAGCTAAAAGAATCTTTCAATCTCTGAAGATAAAGAATATTTTTAAACAAATAGCTAGCTACATGTGAGTGCATTAAAAGGATTATGGCATTTCAATTACACGTTTTCGATTACAATAAAGCATAAGACATGCATATTTATTACCCTCTCTGTTTCAAAATATATTATGTTTTAGTTAAAAGCATATAGTTTTTTTTTTTTTTAAACTCTTATTTAATATTTAATTTTTAGAAAACTAATAGATTAGAAAAAGACTGCATAATAAAATCGTCACAAAATATCAAATACATTTAAAGTTTGCATTGAAACTTGTAAACTATCTTATATAATAAAACAAAATTAAAAAAACTCTAACATCCCTATCTAATATGAAACATAGGGAGTATTTTATAGCCAATAAATTTTGAAGATGCATGTTATATACTCTATATATTAAAATAACCAATAAACTTTGGTGCTTATGTGTCAAGCTCACAATTATCCGCAGTTATTTATTTTTTAGTTATTTAATTATATTATCCATCTACCAAACAATTTGAGTTCTATATATTACTTATTCTTATTACCTAAACTTACCATAATTATATATCTCAAATTTTTAAATACGAAAATTTATATATAACGATTTTATTTATATCAAATGCATTGTGTTTTTTTAATTGAGATTAAACAATATAAACATATACAAGTATATGTATTTTAACACAAACAAATTCTTTCATATATTTTAAATTTTGAAATTAAACCGCAAATTATAAACTGATTGCTCGAGTAATTACTCGATACACTTAACCGCTAGGTAGTATATTCGAGGTTGATCCACAAGAACCAATGGCATACTAAAGATTTCCGATACTCATTCTTAGTTAAAGCGAAAAGTTGTTTGTTTGGGTTTTCAGAATTGTAAATAAAATTGCAAATAATTTAAAACGATTAAACTTATGAATTTAAGACATAGGGCATTAGGCTATTTCAAAAGACAATGACTAGCGGGATAATCGAAACAAGGAATTCAGAAACGAAGAATCATTTTCAACTATGAGTACATAATTCAAGACTAACTCTCTCGCAAGACATTAGTCACTAAATTCGACTATTCACAAGACATTAGTCACTAAATTCGACTATTCAACTACTAAACCTTCATTTGTAGTTTCCTAATCAAATTTGCATTAACGAGTTTGTTCATTTCGTTCACAATGCGTTCTAACGTCAATTTTCATTGGTTAGAAATACATTGCTCAATTTATATTCATTCAGGCATTTTATCGAACACTTTTGATGCATAGAAAAACTTATGTTCTAAAATAGGGTGATCAATCATATTCTAGCATTATGAACATGTAAATCAAAGAACCTATTGATGGAGAATTCTCTATAACAATCTATTCACCAATCCATTGAATTTCTACTTAGAACCCTAACACCCAATTGAGGAACTACTCACACATAGAGAAAGAAACAACAAAAATTGATGTAAAAAAAAAACATGATTCAATTGATAAAATAAAATATGGGGTTTAGAAATCTTCTCCAAATTGTCATAAGGATGAATCTCTAATCCAAAGTATTGCTTACAGAAGAAAAATCTCAGAATTGTTGCAGAAAGAAAACGTGAATGTGAAATTAGGTTTTTAGGATTTTATACCCGAGTACAGAAAACAGCAAGTAAAATCCGGTTAAGGAAAACCGGCTCGGACGTCTGAGGGTTGGATCAATCAATCCCCACCTGTGATCGATCGATCCCTAGCTACTGGTATATTATCGTTTCGTCGTCACTTCTCAGGTCGATCGATCCCCAATCACTGGTCGTTCTCGTTTCGTCGTCACTTCCCATATCGATCGATTCCCACCTAGGATCGATCGATCCCCAGTCACTGACTCACTGGTATCCCCAATCACTGGTCGTTTTTGGCCCGAAACAAGCCCAACAACGCTCGAAAACCTCTAAATTCCGCTCAAGCACCTATGACCTGTAAAAGACTCAAGACAAGACTAAAAAGACGCACAAGACGGACAACGATGCGACAAACGACTCAAAACAAGGACTAGTCAAAGATTGAAGACACCAAAAACGCAACATATCATAAACCTAAATTTATGAATAACGTAAATGCAACTTTATTTGTATAATATAAATTATTAAAATATTTGAAATTTAATTTGAAAGCTTATTTAAAAATTCAAAGATTGTGATATTGCATGATATTTCTATAGCATTATTTTTAATTTAAAACATTTTAGCACATCTAAAGAATGTAGTTGTGACATCTAGAGATTCATTATAAAATCAGAGTTCTAAAATCCGACACAACATTCACAATTCATCTCTCTCTTCAAGAAGGAGGTAGCATATTATGGTTTTTTTAGTAAAATACTTTAATATGAATAGTACTAGATATTAAACCAAAGACACAATTTCACAGTACTTTACATAAATAAATCTATATATATAATGGGAGAGTCTTCTCTCCATCTAGCATATCCACCTAAGCATCCACCTAAGCAACATTATTTATTTTACATTAAAATACACTTTAAACATTTATTTTGGGCATATTTATGTTACTTATAATTAATAGAAATTTTAAATAATGAAAAAACGAATTATGTAAAATAAATGAAATATTAAAATAATAAAAAAAACTATAAAAATATTATTAGTAGTAATAATATACTTCCACTTTTAATAGATAAAAATTAAAACTGATCATACTTCAAATCTTTAAATATTTTGAGGATATTTTAAATACATGGTAGAATAAAAATAAATTTATGTAATTTTGTATATAAAATCTTAAACAAAAATTAAAAGTTAAAGTAAAACATTAGTTTCTAAGAACAAT